GGGCGTGTTCAGGGTCTAGGGCATGGGATTCTACTTGGTGATGTGCAGATGGCTGCGGAGGTGGGGGTGTTTCTCTCTCTCCACCTGGGGGACCTTGCCCTAACAAGAAGCCGTGAGGTGACTTGGCTCCAGCTGCCTGGTGGCCTGAGTGTTCTCTCTCTGAAGGGGCTGCATGGAGGAGGTTCTGCCCATTCCCTTTGCATGGGGGCCCACAGCTCGTTCTGGTCCCTGAGGCCTATGGGAGGCCATTTCCGATGAATCCCCTGGGAATCTGGGCCTCACGCAGGTGCCCCCACAGCCCGTCACAGGGTCAGTGGTCTCTGGGACTCTGCAGCACATCCTGGAGCCGGGGCTGGTGAGCCCGTAGCTGGTGAGGGGACACTATTGAGGGGTAGGGGGCAGACGGAGAGATGGCCACTGCGGTAAAGTGTGACCTGTTTACCCAGGTATCAGAGCCAGAGGCCTCTCAGTGGAGTCCTCAGTTAAGACTTTTTACAATGCCAGCCCAGTGGCAAGAAAAGCCGACAAGACGGGGCCCTTGGTCACCCCTGAATGAGGAGCACCTTAGCTGTTCCCTAGGAATGGCCAGGTCTCTGTAGAAGCCCTGAGAAGCAGACAGCCACAGAGAGGTGAGGGCCAACGATGGGCAGCAAGGCCCAGGCCCAGCGTTTCGTGCGGTCAGCGCGGTTGCTGGGGAAGACATTGTCCTTGGGGAGTCGGCTGGAAATGTTTTTTCCTTGGTGGCCACAGATGTCTCCCTCCGGAACAGTGCCAGCCTGGGGCATCGCCCTCACTGCCCGGCTGGCCACACTCAGTGTGGGTCCCAGGAGCAGCTTTCCTGCTTATCAGGCCGACAGATAAGCTGGCTTGCATGTTTAGGAAAATTAAACCAAACCAAAAAGGGCACTTCCTTTCCTCAAATATGAATGTTTGGGATGTGGCCCTCCTGTGGCTGGTGGCAACCATTAGCGTTAGAAAACTCAAACTGCCAAGAAGGATCTTGAGACTTGGTGGAAAACTAAATTCTGGAAGGAAAGAGCTTATCAGCACGGGGGTGAGGAGAGAAAAGTGGGAGACGGCGGAACAGCAAGAATACAGCCCGAGACTGAAGGCTCTCTGAGCACAGAGCCCTGACTGGGTCAGGCCAACAGGCAGCAGCCCCCAAGGCTTCAGCGCCCGGCTGTTTCAAGAGAGAGCCTTAAACTTCGGAGCTGACCCGAAAGTTGGCTTAAAATCCCTTCCTCACCATTGGGTAATTGTGTGACTGAGAGCGAGTCGTTTGCTCTGAGCCAGTTTGCTCAGGTATAAAGCAGGGGAGAACAGTTCCTATTCCATCAGGCTATTGGGAAGATTAGGTTAATTTGTAGAAATCACCTACCTATGGCCTGTCACACTGGGTCCTCCGTCAGAGTTAATTTTGGCCATCTGGCTCCCAGCCTCATTTAGACGGCTTTCTAGGGCTACAGGTCTGTCCTCTACCATTTGTCTTCTGTCTTTCGCAACAGGTTTTTCACATGGGTGCACAGTGGAATCAATTACCACCACCCAAGGAATAGCTTTTTAAAAATTCTTTTGCAAGGGAAAATTAGGTCTAAGTTGGCAGGCTAAAAATTTGCTGTTAGGGGACTGACATTGACAAGTCAAGTTCACCTTGTGATCCCTGTCGATTCGGTGACTGCTAAATGGAGATTGCAAGTCAACAAATGCGTGAGCATCTGCCCTGTGCCGGGCATTGTTCTAGGCCCTGGGGACACAGACGGGAAACGACCCGAGGTCCCTGCCCTCAGTGAGGAGCTTACATTTGACTGGGCTGAGAACAGCAAAGGGCCTCTTCCTATGAAAGTGGATTTCTCCCCCTAGGCTGACGTGAGAGCTTCCCTCAGCCATGGTGCAGCCACCGGAGGCCTTGGGGCTAAGAGCTATGAGGTGACTGCTGAGAGTGAGGTACAGTCCCGGCTTTCTGAAGCTCACAGGGCGGTGGGGCAAGAGAGATAAGCAGCTGTGTGTGTACATGCACACAGACACACCATAGTAAGATAAGAAGCCTTAAAAAATGCCACAAGAAAGGGACCGATGAAGAAGATCAAAGGCTCAAAGGCAGGATTTCCTGTCGCTGGGGGATATGGGAGCCATCTGCAAGTGACCAGCACTCACACCTGCAGAGATGGGCAGCATGGTGTGCATGTGGCCACCCTCCTAGCCTGAGATGCACGGAGCCCTGGTGGTGTTACGCAGTAGTGAGCCTCACCCATGGCCTTCATGCAGGAGGAGCAGCAGGACTCAGGTGAGTTGAGGGCCGTGGTGCCAGGTGGAGACCTGCCGGAGGCCTCAGGGCTCGTGTTCAACCCTCCCTGGCCAGCAGAAGCCTGACGTGGGCGTCCACCTTGTTCAGGAGGTGAGTATGGGGTGTTGGGGGGACAGCTGGGGGCGTGTGGCCAATGAGGCAGAGAGATGAGGGCTGATCTGATTTGGGGGCACACATTTGTCTGTACCAATCAATAATTAAAAAGGCGCCCTGTTGGCCTTGGGTAATGAATCCAGCTCAAAGGGCTGGTGGCCTGCTTATGGATTCATGAGTCTACTCAGGAGAAAAAAGCTCTTTAAAAACCACCTACAATGTGGAAGATAACTTTTAAGAAACTCTATATCAGCATTACCTTTGTCAAGAAGAGCCAGATTGTGTGCTGCCCAGAGCCTTGCCAACACAGCTTTCTTCTGGCTTAGAGCTCTGGCTCTGCTGGTCTTGACCCCAAGCTGCTGACTTAATTAGCTTGGGGAGGGGCCTAGGCACAGATTGGCTTTTTAAAAGCTCCCAGGTGATGGTCACGCCCTGAGTCAAGGAGGCTTGTTCTGACTAAAAGCAGGGAGTGAAGTAGGCTGCGGCCTGTCTAAAGGTGGCATTCCTCTCCCCCGCTTCTCAACACAGGCTTCACAAATAAATCCTAGAATGTAGAGATGCACTAAATAGGAAGAGGAAAATTCTAAGTGGTTTGGAAAAATATGCACCATACTAGTCCCATCGGGCCAGCTTGCCCATTGTGTGCCCACCAGGGTCAAAGCCAGTTGTCCGACAGGTCTTCGATGTTGGTTGGTTAATCAGTAAAAATGGTGTCAGTTGAGGAGTATCATTGTGTGTGTGCTGGGGGGCAGTGCACAGTTCCCAGGAAATCACAGGCGAATGACCATCTGACCAGCCTGATCAAATCCCTGGCCCCTCATCAAAGATGTTCTTTCCTAGTGTCCGACTGCCCGCAGTATTCCTGTGTCCACCCTCGGCGGGCGCACCGTGACTGGGCTTTTCCCGGGCCTCCCCAGGGCACCTGCTCGGGGCGGCTGCTGACTGAGCTCCCTGGGGGTGAGACCTGACTGCTGCTCCCCACGCAGCCCCGCAAACTGCCTGCTGTGGGCCTCCCTATCCTGTGGGACCTGGACCCAGAGAGAGGCCCCATCTGGAGGGGAGACTCCCAACCCTGCTCCCCGCTGAGCACAAATGCAGCTGAGTGGCACGTGTCATCCTGCAGCTGAACCCTGGGGTCCTGCGTGACCACTGGCAGCAGCTCCTTCGGGCTTCTGCTTCGGGATGTTAAGGAGCTTGGAGCTCCTTTCCAGGTATCCGGTAGGGGCGAGCCCATGATGTAGGAGAGCCTCTCCCACTCTGAGCTCCCAGGACTCTGAGTGCTTCCTGCTTGTACACGCACCTTCCGTCACAGCCTGAGTTCTGGTGACTGCAGATGGCCGAAGCCAGCTCTCTTTTGGTTTCTGCTTTGTGATCCTGGGCAACTCTTCCCCGACTCCTCCCCAGGACCCAACTTGTTCGTTTCTTAACAAATTTTAGCAACTGCACTTACCGGAAAGCAGTGCCTTAAGCGGTCCAGGATGGGTTGTTTTGCTACCACCTTCCTTTTCTGGTAAACTAAAGAGGGGGTCCCCCCAAAAAAGATCATTTATGTTGGCAGAGCACTGCTGTCCTCAAATGCTTCTTTTACAAGTTCCCTCTTGATCATCCAAAAACCCACTGACGAGAGGAAGTCTCCATTTGGCAGTTGCTGAAACTCAGGCACGCGGGGCCGGCTCGAGGTCCTGAGGCTGGCGCAGGGCCAGCGTGGGCCTCCTGTGGCTCACGCCTCCCGCTCCCTCTGTGTCCAGGGCTGGGCCCGGCGTCAGGGGGAGCTGAGCTTTGAACAGCAGCTCCGTGATTCTAGGCCCCCAGTGTCAGCTGCAGGAGCAGGTCAGAGGCTCCTGGGCTCCCAAAGAACCCATCAAAGAGTGTTCTGACTAGAAATGCACCCGTGGAATTGAAAATCGAGCAGAACACTTTCAAGAAAGAAAACAGGTTTACAGTAAAGTTAGAAAAGCCCAAGATGTATTGAAAAATAAAAGGCAAGTCTGACCATGAAGGAAAAGGAACCAGGAGTCCTTCCTTTAACAATAAAAATATCTTCATAAGCATCTTTCCCTTTTGGCTTCAGCTGCCAGTAGCTTCAAGGTACTTCAGTGTCCAACTGTTGTAACATTGGGTGGAGGGACCAGGATTGCAATAGACACACTTAACGCAGTCCGCAAAGCTCAGTTTCTTGGTCCTGATTACTGGAGAGGTTGTGGTCCAGCCTCTGCCTCCCAGGGCCAGGAACCTCCACGGTTGCTCTGCCCCCTGTGCTGTGTAGGATTGTGTGTCTGCACCCCCCTTCTCCACTGCCATCAAGTCTGTGAGCCCCCTGTGGGCAGGGACCCAGCCTCTGTCATTCACAGCCCCAGGCCCTGGCGCCCCGCTGGCCCCGGGCAGCCATGCAGATGAGAGGATGTTTGCCCAGGCTCATCACTGTCTCAAAGCTGCGGAGCCTCGTCCAGAAGAGGAAGCCGGCAGAGTTCTGGTATCGTTGCTGCAGCTGGTGTTGTGAATCAGGCCGACGAGCAGTGCATCCTCTTACCCGGCTATTTCACGACACCAGGGTTGCATCATACCCATCCTCTCCAGGCGAGCCTCGAGGGACCAGGGCGGACGTGGACGTGGGGGTGGGGTGGGGCGGGGCGTCTGTGTGCAAGATTGTTCTCTGTCCCACCAAGTCTCCGTCAGCCTGCTCCTCAGGATCACCTGGGGAGCTTTCCGATAATACGGATGCCGGCCCTCACCCGCTTCTCTGCCCCAGGCCCACAGAACCCCCAGCATGGGGCCACCGCATCAGTGTCTGTTAGAGGTTCCAGGGTGATGCTCCAGGCATCAGATGCTGCAGTCGGGTGGGCCCCAGGGCTCACGGCGGGGCTGTCTCCTCTTACCTGACTGTTGCCGCAGCCCCCAGCCCTCCCTGGTCCCTGCTCCCCACACCACTGCTGCCTCCACCAGCCTTCCAGAAACAGATAGGATCTGACGCCCCAGCACAAAGGCCAGGCTCCTCGCCCTGGCCTTTGAGGCCCTCCGCGTCAGGCTTCCCTACTCAGAAATGAGATGACCATTTCCCCCAGAGAGTCCTCCCTGTTCCCTTCTTCTCTCGAACCCCTGCCCTGCACAAACCCATGTGCTGGTTCTGTGGGCTCTGCCTTCAGAATATACCTCGAATCCCAACACTTCTCACCATCCTGCCACCCACAGCTACTCCCCTGGCCTGGGCACTATCATCGCACACCTGTGGTGGCCCTGAGTAGTCTTGCCTCCCTCAGTCCACTCTCTACACAATGGCCAAAGTGCTCTTTGAAAAATATAAATCTGACCATCACATAATAGAATATGAACTTCTAACCCTTGCTTATAAGGCCCGATGTTCCCCCTTCCATGTCTTAAACCCTATCTCCTTGTTCCCTCTATTCCATCCATATTGGCCTCCTTACTATCTTGAAGCCTCAATCACACTTATACCCCAGGGCCTTTGCACATGCTCTTCCCTCTGTCTGGAACACCTGTGTTCATACCTGCTTGCATATGGGTGGCTCCTTCTTATTGTTGGAGCTCAGCTCAAATTTCTCATTTTAAGAGAGGCTTAAATGCCCCTCCTAAAAAAAAAAACTTTGTTTTTTTAATAGCACTTATCACTAAATGTATTATAATGATTGCTTGTTTATTACTGTCTGTCTCTCCCACTAGAATGTGAGCTCCAGGAGGGCAGGGCCTTGGTCTTGTTCCCCACGGTGCCTCCTTTGCCCAGCACAGGGCATGGTATGCAGTAGGCACTCAATAAATGTGTGTGACTGAAGAAACAATCGGACCCCTTTCAGCTCATCTCCTATCATTTCCTCCCTCCTCCACCCCCCCCGACGGCGTTGTGTGCTCCAGTCCCACCCCTTCCCACCCTTCCCAAACCCCGTGCCCCAGAACTCCCTCCATCCTTTCCTGCCCATCTCCCCTCTGGCTCCCCGCTGCTTCTCCAGGCAGCCTCCCTCCTCTGCTAGCCAGTTGTCCCCCTCTCCTTGCTGGTTTGTCTGCCAGGCTGGGCTGTGGGTCCCAGTCCCTGGCACACAGGAGGCGCACAATAAATGCTTAGGTGCCTCTGTGGCCGTGAAGACAACAGGCCATCCTGTCCTCACGGTTTCAGCCGCCTGCGTGCAGGGTTTTTGCTTCTGGGGAGCTTCCTGACCGCTGGGCCTTTTGGTGCCTTCACTGCCCTGTTCTCTGTCCTTCTGAGAACCGGGAGATGCAAAGGCCCTGCATCGCTCAGCCGGGGGCTGGCGCTGGACGCGGCAGCTGTAACTGACAGTGGTGTAGGTGTCGGTGCCACTTTGCTGCTGGGGAAGCCGAGGCTCACTGGGGTCAGGTAACTTGCTAAAGACTCAGAATCTGACAGAACTGAGATGTGACAGCACAGAGCTGGGACTTCCGGAGGCCAGACCACAGGGCTTTGCTCAGGGTACAGGTGATTCGAGTCCCGGGTCTCAGACGTGAGGGGCTCTGGGGCCACCAGGAAGCCGAAGTCCCGGAAGGTGGGAGTCGTGTGCGAGCCAGCGCCACACCCCATCAGGAGCAGAGCCTCTGTGAGTTTTCTCGAGTGGATGCAGTTCCACCCAAGGGCGAGCATCCCCTTTCTCTGGGGTCTGTGCTTTGCGACAAGGTGTTCTGACAGCCCCTTAGCTGGCTCTGTTGAGAAGCCCTTTGAGGGGTCCTGCTCAAATCCCACTGCATCCCAGAGAGATGCGGGGGGCGGACAGGCTTCTCGGAGAGCCGTGTTCCCCACCTGGGGCTGGAGCAGACCTCGGAGCTGACCCAGGCCTGGGGATTGTGGAGGGAGGAGGAAGTGACTTGGCCAAGGTCACCCAGTGGATCTGTGGCCCCCCACGGCCCATGGCCCCCATGCTGCTGGAAGCCAGCCCTGGCCCCTTTCTCTTCTGAGACTTTAATTAGGAATTTTCCACAGCTGCCCCGGGACAGGGCATGCAGGATGGTGTAAGGGGATGTTGGGCAGCTGGGATTTTCGCCCGTCCAGTGGCAGTTTAAGAGCGAGGAGGTGATAAGATCTGCCCCGAGGCTGCGTGGGAGAGAATGAGTAACTCGCAGCCCCCCCACACACAGACAGGGTGGGGGCTGCAGGCAAGCTGGAACACTGACCACAACTGGGGCTTTGTCCTAGAGCCCTCACCTTCGGGGTTGGGCCAGACTCCTGCAGAGGCCTCCTGAGAAGGGGCTGGAAATCCTGAGAAGGAGCGGGCAAGCCTGGGAGTCATTGAGAGGAGCCCCGAGAAGAGTCTTTTTTAAAAACTAACACATGTGGTCAATATGTAAACTTTGCAAAAAGGACCACAGAGATCATAACCTTTGGGTTTGTCCTCAGGGCCTGTCGTCGTCAGCTCACCTCCATGCCTGGCTGAGCTGGAAGGGCCCGAGGAGCTGCTTTGCACCCTGTCCTTGGGGTAACTGTCAGCCAAGGGCTCCCACGGCAGCCGCTTTTGCCCTCTTTGGTTCTGGACTCCTTTCATTATTCATTCAACAACTGTTTGTCGAGGACCTACTCTGTGCTGTTCTAGTTGCTTGGGATTATCAGTGAGCGAGATGAGCCCAGATCCCTGCCCCTGTGGGCTTGCCCTCCCACAAGTTGGATGAAAAATATGTCCCCCATCCCAGAAAAATGCACCGAAGTATGAAAACTTGTCCACAATTTTGTGGGGCTCCTAGACCCCGCTGTGAGCAGCCTCATCTTGGAGGGTGTCTCTCTAATGCAGTTTCTGCTCTAACACCATCTGAGCATTTCCACGTGGCCCTAAAGTTGGGCATGCCTGTCCCAGGCCCCTCTGGGCCGGGAACGGGGGGAACATCACCAGCCAGGCAGGCCCCCTCTGTAAGTTCTTAGTCAATGAGTGCTGACTTGCTGTCGGAGGTCATGGAGCCCAAGGACTCCAAACATCTGATTGCTGGTCCTCCGGGGACCTGTGTGAGCCCCAAGAGGCCATTTGAGAGGCAGGGCAGGGAGGGAGAGAAAAAGTGACCCTCCATGTCCCCCCCAGGATGGCCGGAGCCTGAGGATAAGCCAAGCTCAGAAGCCTGGAGCTGGCGGTGGCCTTGGCTTCTCATCCATCCTCTTCCTCCAGAGGAGCAACTCGTCCTCCAAGCCTCCAGTCAGGGGTCTGCCCCAGCCCTGGACGTCCCCACCCGGACCCTCCTCCAGGGGCGGCTCTCCCATTGCCCTCACCACACAGCTCGCCTGGTCTGTTTCCATGCCCATCTCCCGCACTGACTCAGCAACACTGTGAGCGAAGCCTTGGGGCCCACTGTCTATGTTCCTGGCTCCCCTCACTGCTCACAGCATGCAGGATGGTCAATAAAGGTTTGTCGGGTGAATGGCTGAAAGATGCAAAACCCAGCAGGGGTGACAAAGAGACCTAGTTTTCTTTTAAGCTGCTAGACCACCCGCCCGGGAAGCAGACCCTGAGACACAGGTGAGCGTGCAGGGCATTCGCCAGGGAGGGCTCTTGGGTTGGTACCTCTGGGGAGAAGGGAAGGAAGCAGGACTGGGCAGAGGGAGGAGTGTGCTGCTGTGTGGACACAAAGCCTCGGCTGCCACAGGGGAGCTCGGGAGCAAGGGTGGCCCTTCAGAGCTGGGGGCAGGGCACCGGGCCTTTACACATGGCATCCCTCAGTCACTGGATGAGGCCCCAGGGGAACGGTGGCCACAGGCAAGGCCATCGCCATAGGGGCTGACACTGAGAGCCCTTGCAGCAGCTAGGGGAACGCCCACCATACTATCACCTCTCCAAACCCCGCCCCCCTTCTGTGTCACCCCCACAACTCAAATTTCAGCCCCACCCCTGCAATGGCTTCGGTGTCTCTGGTGACGAGGGTGCTCCCACGGCCACTGTGCATTGAGGCCTCGGGGCTGCTGGTCAAACTGGAGCCCGGCCTGGCCCAGTGCTGGAATGGGGCCTTTGCCCCCTGCCCACTGTGGAAGCCGGGGGCTCTCTGCCTGGGCTGGCCCGGCGGGAGTGCTGACTCCTTGGCCTCTGTAACCAGTGGCTCTATAGGCAGAGCCCGGGGAATCTCCGGTGTGGGGGATGGGGGGTGGGTGCCCAGTTGCCCAGCAGTCCACTGGCTGGCCACAAGCCCCAGGGGCTCGTCCGTCCACGTTTGGCTGCAGATCACACCTGGTACCTGCTGAACTCTGGTTTGGGGGCACTTGTTCATAGTGGTTTATACATCCTGAGATGTCTCTGGAAGGAGATGCTAGACTGGGAGTCAGAGGTCCAAGTAAGAGAGACTGACCTTTTGTCTACATACATGATCTTTTTATATGTCATACCATTCATCTATTGAAAAATACTAGAAAAATAAAAAAATAGAACTAACTACTACCTCCTAAAATGAGAGTTTTTGAATCTGCACACGGTGGGTCCTCAGGTCCTCAGGCCGTCTCTAGGGCCCCTCTGGTGAGTACTTCCTCCTGGGGTCCTGGCTGCAGGGGTCCCCTGCCCCCGGATTCAGAAGAGCCTCCCAGGCCCAGGGTCCAGGGTGGCTGCCCCGTGGCTCATGGGGAGGCCGCTATCTCAGCCATCAGACGGTGGGCAGGACGGCAGTGGGCACGGCTCCACCCCCACCCTGTGCAGGGACCCCGCTCACCAGCTGCGGGCGGTTTGAGCCAACCTCCCTGCCTCCTCCCTGCCGTGGGCCCAGCCTATAAAGCCACCCGGCATGTCCCCGCTGACCCTGGCCCCCTCCCCAACACCCAGAGCCACAATGGCCGAGCTGCCGGTGTCAGAGACGCCTGGGGACCCTGCTCTGTGCAGTGGGCGCTTCACCATCAGCACGCTGCTCGGGGGCGATGAGCCCCCCCAACCAGCTGCCTATGACAGCAGCCACCCCAGCCACCTGACCCACGGCAGCACCTTCTACATGCGCACCTTCGGCTACAACACTATCGATGTGGTACCCGCCTATGAACACTATGCCAACAGCGCCCTGCCCGGTGAGCCCCGGAAGGTCCGGCCCACCCTGGCGGACCTGCACTCCTTCCTCAAGGTAAGCAGTGTCTCAGAAGCCTGGCCACTTCCCTGCTGTGTGACCTTGGTCCAATTACCTAATCTCTCTGAGTCTCAGCTCTTGTCATCTGTGCCATGGGGATGAGTGTCTTCCTCCTGGGTCAAGGCCCAAATGAAATGTGGGCATGGATCCTGTGAAGCTCTGGATACATGTTGTCATGTATATTGTCCAGTCATTGGCACCCAGTCAAGTAATCTAGGGCTCCCTAGAGAGGTAGTGAGCTCCCCATCAGTGGAAGTGTGCAAACAGAGGTTGCGCATACCTGAAAGAGATGGGGAGAGTAAGGAAGGTCTGCGTCAGAGTGGGGGCTTGCTGGGTTTGCTGCCTGGGAGGCTGGAGTCTGGAGGGTGGAGGACTGGGAGCTGGGTTGTCATGACTCCTGCCTGACACGTGGCCCCTGGGCTCCCCGCAGGAAGGCAGCCACCTGCACGCCTTGGCCTTTGACAGCCGGCCCGGCCATGAGATGACCGATGGGCTGGTAGAGGACGAGGCAGGTACCGGCGGCGAGAAGAGCCCGGCAGAGCCCGTGCGCTTTGGCTGGGTCAAGGGGGTGATGGTGAGTGTGTGCGGATGGAAGGTCCAGCAGTCGGAGCGGGAGCCAGGGCTCCATCCAGGCTCAGCTCTGGTCCTCAAGGCCTAGTGGCCAGCGCAGCCCAAAGGCCTGTCCTGGGCCTCAGTTTCTCCATCTGCATAGTGACCTCAAATTTCTCTGGTTTTGTGCTTCCTGACCCCCCTTTACCCTCTAGACTGAGGCCTGGCCCTGGGGATGATCGCTTTTTGGCTATGCACTTGTCCTGTTTCCTTGGGCAAGTTTCTTAACCTGCCTCAGTCTCCTCATCTCTGAAATGATGAGCATTAGATGAGTCAATAGATAAAGTGCTTGGATCAATGCCTGCCTGGGTGTTATTAGAAGAAACTGTGTTTCCCCAAAAAGCCACCAGGAGGCAGCACGAACCCACAATTCCTCGAGTTGGTGGCTTTTCTCTCCGTGATGGGAAGCGGAGGGTTGATGGGGCCAGAGCGGGAATAAGTCCCAGACGGTAGAGTGGACGGGCGGGCAGGAGAGGCGGCAGGAGGGGCAGGTGGGTCTCTGGGTTTCCCCCTTCCCTGCCTCACAGAACCAGAGGGGCGTTGAAGGGGGAACCCACTGAAGTGGGTAAAGCAAAGAAGGGACCCAGGTGTCCCCAAGGCCTAAGTGCCCCATGTCACGGCTTGACAGGGGTCAGGGACTTGTGTGTGTGGCCTTGGGGTGTCTGGCCCACCCAGTGGCCTCTGACACCCGTCTCCCCCCAGATCCGTTGCATGCTCAATATCTGGGGTGTGATCCTCTATCTGCGGCTCCCGTGGATCACGGCACAGGCGGGCATTGGTGAGTGCCGCCTCAGGTGGGGAGGGGGAGAGGCGCGCTGAGTCCTGGTCCTCCAAGGCCCCAGGGAGCAGTCTTGAGCTTCGGCTGCAGAGACCACGGGCCCCTGCAGTGACAGAGGACAGGGTGGTGTGGAGTCAGCAGGCCTGAGGGCTCCCCCTGGCTCTCCTGGCCCTCAGTAAGTCACTGGACCTCTTGGAGCCAGCTCTCACTGCAGAATGTTGGGTTAGGGACTCACTGTCTGCACAGACCAGGGTTCAGATTCAAGCTCTGTGGCATGCTGTGTGACCTTAGACAAGTTCCTTAACCTCTCTGAGCCTTGGTTCCTCATCAGTAAAATGGGGATGATAACTGACCCTACTTCACAGACCTATTGTGGGGTTCCTACGATGCTTCTATGATGCACATACAACAGCACAGGGTTTGGCACCCAGAGGCACTCATCAAGTGGTAACTCATACTTTATTTTTCATTATGAAAGGATGGGAGCTTCCTTCCATATCTGGTGATCCTTTACATGTTGGCTCAGCAGCTCCCTGGCTATTCAGAACATACCAGGCGGTAGACAGAGACCCATTTTTCAGATGAGAAAGCCGAGCCCAGAGGAGGGAAGGGACTTAGGTCATGTGGTGACTCATTGGCTGATTCGGGTTCCTCACATGGCTCCTCACCTGGGAAATGCCCCAACTGACCGCATCCCCCCACCCCCACAGTCCTGACCTGGATCATCATCCTGCTGTCCGTCACGGTGACCTCCATCACCGGCCTCTCCATCTCGGCCATCTCCACCAACGGCAAGGTCAAGTCAGGTGGGCCCCACTCCACCCCACCCCTTCTGTCCCCTACTCCCAAGGTCTTCCTCTTGTAGGTCCCCCAGTCTTCACCCTGGGAACGGGTCTCCGAACCACCGCCACCCCCACCAAGACTGGAATGCCCCAGGCTGCTCCTTCTGGTTCCAGGAGAAGGCTGGGGGCAGGCTCTCCGCACCCACTGGACAGCCTCGGTCATCTCCTGTGCTGTGGATGCCATGGGCCCCATGGACACCCTCTCCCAGCCTCAGTTTCTGCCTGCCCCAAGTCCACCCCAGCCAGCTGACTCCCCCAGCTTCACAGCTCCTGGCTCTGTCCCCAATAGGTGGCACCTACTTCCTCATCTCCCGGAGTCTTGGCCCAGAGCTAGGGGGCTCCATCGGCCTCATTTTTGCTTTCGCCAACGCTGTGGGTGTGGCCATGCACACTGTGGGCTTTGCAGAGACCGTGCGGGACCTGATCCAGGTGAGGCTGGGGCTGGACCCCAAGCAGAAGGAGCCAGCAGCCCATCTCATTCTCCTCCACCCCATCTGGGACGGGCGTTCCTGCCCCTCTGCCCAATTTTGCCCATCAGGGACCAAGGCCACAGTCTGATCCCTGTGGGTGACAGTGACGATCTCATCAAATAAGACCATTCCCAGAAGACCCCTTCAGGGGAGCCTGTTGCCTGTAGGGCCGGATTGTTCAGGCCCACATAGCAGCCGCTTTGTAGGATCTGTCGGCAGGGAAGGTGCTGAGTTTGTGTTTTCCTGTGAGAGGACACCCATAAATGAGGGGGATCACGGTGGAGGCATCGGGGGGCGGGGTTCAGAGGGCAGCGCGCAGCCCGCCTGTTCCCCTCCACCAGGAGCACGGCGCGCCCATCGTGGACCCCATCAACGACATCCGCATCATCGGCGTGGTCACTGTCACGGTGCTGCTGGGCATCTCCCTGGCCGGCATGGAGTGGGAATCCAAGGTGAGGGGAGGATGTCGGCGAGGGGATGTGGGAGCGGAAAAGCAGGAGTCACAAGACCTGGGTCCAGGTCCTGGTTCTGCCACTTCTTGGGTGTATTAGCTGGGCTTTAAGTTCTGCTGCTGTGACAAGGACACCCTAAGGAAGGGGGCCTTAAACAAGAGATGTTTGTTTCTCTCTGATGTCACAGCCCAGGTGTGTGTGGCTCCTGAGGTCAGGCACCCAGACTCTTCCCGTGCTGTGGCCTCTCCCTCCCTGGGGTGTGGCCCTCGTGCGCCTGGTCTGTGACGGCCACCACTAGCACGTCCACAGTCCGGTCTATGGGTGGGAAGGAGGGGTTCCTTTTCCCTTCCCTTTCACGGCACAGCCTGGGAGCTGCACGTATCCCTCTGCTCACATCCCATCCGCCAGAACTTGGTCCACGGCCACACCCTGCAAGGGAGGCTGTGGAAAGCTGGTCTTCCTTTGCACCTGTCCGGCCAAAACTGAGAGGCTGAGCACCAGGAAATGAGGGAAGAAGAGACACTGGGCTGCAGCTGGCAGGCCTGGCCAGACCAGGCCCCACAGCCTCTCCTCCACCCCCTTGCTCTGACCTGCAGCTACGCCAGCCTCCTCGAGGTTCCTTGTGCGCCAAGCTGATGCCCCCTGTCGTTCTGTGACTCACTCATCCTCCTCCTTTAGGACCCTTGAAGACCCCTTCCCAGGCCACCCTGCTAAAGTAGTCCCCAACCCAGTCCCCATCGCACCCCAGTTCTTACTCTGGATCCATCTTCCTTATTTATCAGCAAGACAAGGCTTATTCTGTCACCAACTCCTAGAACAGAGCCTGCGGCATAATGGGTGTTGAGTGAATGAATGAGTGATTGAAGGAATGAGTGAGTGGGGGAGTGAGGGACCTGGGCAGGAATGAATGAATGAATGAATGGGGGGTGTGGGATCTGGGCAGGTATGCATGAAAGAATGAATGGGTGAGTGAGTGAGTGGGGGCATGAGGGACCTGGGTAGGTATGAATGAATGACTGAGTGAGCGAGTGAATGGGGGAGTGAGGGACCCAGGCAGGTTCTTCCCTAATGAATGAATGAATGAGTGAGTGAGTGAGTGAATGGGGCTGGGGGAGGGAGGGACCTGCCGGGGTCCCTGAATGGGCAGCCCGGCCTGACCTCTAGTGTCTTTCACCCCCAGGCCCAGGTGCTCTTCTTCCTGGTCATCATGGTCTCTTTTGCCAACTACCTGGTGGGGACGCTGATCCCCCCGTCAGAGGACAAGGCCTCCAAAGGCTTCTTCAGCTACCGGGGTAAGTGCCAGTTGGGGCCCCTGCCCATGGCTCTGGGGACACGGACAGTCTGCCCGCTAACCTGGCCCTTCTCAGGGCACCAGGAGGAGGGGACCCCCGACTCCCATGGCCAGGAGCTGCCCGCGGAGCCCCCTACCTGCCCGGCAGGCCCAGCGAGGGGAGCCAAGCCCTCCAGACGGCCCTGACTAGGCCTTGGTTTTCCAGGCGACATTTTTGTCCAGAACCTGGTTCCCGACTGGCGGGGTGTGGATGGCAGCTTCTTCGGGATGTTCTCCATCTTCTTCCCCTCGGCCACAGGCATCCTGGCCGGGGCCAACATCTCCGGGGACCTCAGGGTGAGCAGGACGCCCATCCTTCCCGCTTCCTGGCCATGACCTACCGGGATCTCCCGCTGGGCACTGAGCTTGGCGCTGAGACCATGGGCTGAGACCAGAGCTTCTAAAATCCAGTCCAGTCAGCTCAGCTCAGTCCAGGCCAATCCAATTCACTTCCATCCATTCTGCTCAATTCTGAGCTTGTTGATGGGCTGCACTCTCGGCCTTGAGGGCGGCCCCAAAATGGGCGAGTCTCCTCCCTAGTTCCTGGGACTCTCAGCCTAAGGGGAAGATCCACCCAGCTTGACCTTCCAAACCCTAGAGCGGGTCATGCACATCTTTGCAGGGCTGACATCCTCCCAGGGCCCTCCACTGCCTGATGCAGGCAGGCTCCTCAGCTCGGCATTCAAGGCCCCAGCCCACTGTCACTTTTCCCATGACCCCTGCCCTGGCCCCAAGGATCTAGTGCTTTTCCCGTGCCCCCGTATCCATCCTTCATGCCTCTATCTCTGCCTCGCTCTCTACCTGGGACTCCCTACCTTGTTTCTTTGCCTCGCAAAGTTCTGTTCCTCTTTCAAATACCACGTCTACCCTTACATCTCTCCCAGCCCTTTTGCCAGAGCCAGGGTTCCTGTAGCATAATGATGTCAGGCCATTTATGTCCTTGTCTCCCCTACATCTGGAGAACTGAGACCTACCTCTGCGTCCCTGTTCCCAGCTAAGAGTCGGACTCATACTAGATGCTCAGTGTGTGTTTGTTGAGTGAAAAGCGAAACGTAGTGAATGGGAGATGTTTGAGCAGAAGCACCAAGTGCTGGTGAGCTGGGGAGGAGGAGACACTGATGCCGGCAGGTGCTGCACAGAACTTCTGGGGGGAGATGGGGCTGGAGCTGGGGCTTTAAAAGATGTTATAGGAGGATCAGATGGTGAGGAGGCCCGCTCTGCGCTGGAGACCCTTACCTGCCACTCCCACTCAAAAGGTGCTTGCTGGTGCATTTTCTCAAATGCATTAAGAACGTGCATTGGAGGCAGTCTCGAACCCTGGCCTGGCTCTAACTGCACATGCCCGGGTGGTGCCCAGCAGGCCTGGAAATCACAGAGTGGCCGTGTTTGCCGGCTCCTCTCCCTGCTCCAGAAACAGCCCGCAGAGGCCTGGTGGCCTGCCCTGAGGTCCCCGCAGAGGCCAGGCTGGTGCTCAGACAGGCTGGTTCCCCTCCCAGCCCCGTCAAGGACCTTTGCAGCCGGGGGACTCATCCAGATGCTTCATCAAGCTCCTTAGGTTCCTGACCAGCCCAGTGTGCAGCCGTTGGGCCAGGCAGCTATCCCGGGGCTGGGCAAGGGGGCCCCTTGGCTCTGTCCTAAATGCCCTCAAGCCCTAACGGGGACCTTCCCTCCTGGATCCGGCCCTCTGCCTTCCTGTGGGACAGTGTTCCCCAACTGGAAAATGGGACAAACACAGCCCCTGCTTCCAGGGCTGGGAGTGCAGATTCGATGAGCTAGTTTACGTAAAGGGCTTAGGACGGTGCCGGCACAGAGGAGGGCTAAGGGCTGGTTGTCAAGGTCACGTAAGTGCTAAGGGCTAGTTCTCAAGGTCGTCTACGTGCTAAGGGCTGATTGTCAAGGTCATGCTCACGTTTACCACGGGGCTGGCACGGTGCCTCCTTCTTACAACATTGTCTGGGGCAGCTGTACAGGTCTGTGCTGTCATCGTGTCCACAGAGGAGCAAACCAAGCTCAGGGAGGGTCAGGGCTGGCCGAGGGCCACACTCAGGTGGCAGAGGGGCTGGAATGCAAGTTTCTAGGACAAAGAGGCCTCAACTTTATCACAAGAACTTTATCATTCAACGAGTATTTTTTGAGCACCTGCTTTATGCAAGCGTCTTATGACTACAGCAGTAAACAAGACGATTACAGGCAATCAACCAACAAATAAGCGAAATGTGTAGTGTGCCTGACGGTGGTGAGTGACAGGGAGAAATAAGCAGGAGGCGGGGAGTCTGCGGGCGTGGGGTGGAGGAGCACGGCGCAAACTGAGACGGGGTGGCCAGAGACCTCTGAGGAGGCTGTATCGGAAGGAGACCTGAAGGGACGATGACAAAGTTGTCCCTGTTACTCTGAATCGCTTGCATTTCCCTGACCCGTTGGCCCTTGCAGAGCGATCTCGTGACCACATCCTCACCATGACCCTGTGACGTGGCCATGGGAAGCACTATTAGCTCAATTTTCTGATTGGGCGACTGAGGCTCAGAGACAGGGGACTTCCTAGTGACTGATGTGGGATCTGTGCCACACCTGGTATTGTCCCAGGGTGTGTCCCTGAGCACAACACAGTCCCCACCCCTAACTGCTCACGTTTATGGGGACCGGCCGTGTGCCACGTTAGCTTCTTGTTTCACAGAGGGGAGGGGCACTGAGGCTCAGAGATCTTAAGGGGCTGGTCCCAGGGCACACAGCTGGGAGGAGAGGGGCTGGGATGTGGACCCAGAGACCCCTGTCTTGTGAGCTGGCTCTGAGATTTCAGACCAAGATAGGAGAGCAGGATGGAGGCCTGGTGGATTCATTTCCTGGGGCTGCTATAACAAATCACCACAAACTTTGTGGCTTAAAACCATAGAAATTTATTCTTGCACATTTCTGGGGCCAGAAGTCCAATACAGAGGTGTCAGTAGGGCCATGCTCCCTCTGAGGGCCCTGGGGGGGATCCTTCCTGCCCCTTCCAGCTTCTGGAGGCTCCTGGTGTTCCTTGGCTTGTAGCCGCATCTCTGCGATCTCTGCCTCTGTCTTCACATGGACTTTTTTCCTGGTGTCTCTCTATGTCTTTTCCTTTTCTTACAAGGACACCAGCCACTGGATTTAGGGCCCACCCAAATCCAGTATGACCTCATCTTAACCGATTACATTTGCGAAGACCGTATTTCCAAATAAGGTCATATTCTGAGGTTCTGGGTGAACATGAATTCTTGGAGACACTATTCAACCCACTGGAGGTGGGATGGGAGGTTGACCTGGTCTGTTGGCCTTGAGACCAAGGACTCCGTGCTTCACCTAGTTGGGCCATCCTGGCTCTCAGGGCAGGGCTGGCTGGACGATGACTGCAGGGCCCCCAAAGCAGAGACCTCAGCCAACCTGGGCGCTCCAGAGGCTCCAGGCTCCCACCAGCTCTACACCTCTGTTCCCTCTTTTCTCTGGCCTGCCATGCCCTTCCTCCCACCCCAGTGGCCTCAGAGCTACCTCAACTGTTCCCTCCACCATGAGGCCTTCCAGGGTTCCTGGCAGGGCGCCCCCCCCCCCCCCCCCCCCCCCCCCCCCCCAGTTCTCCAGCTCACTGTGGTCGTCCCTGTGGCAGGTGCCGTCTGCCCTGTGTTGGCAGCATCCTGCCTGTACTTTCTCCCCTTGGGCCGGGGGTCCTCAAGGGCAGAGTCTGGGGCCTGGTCATTGCTGGGTGACCGTGGGTCCAACTCAGGCCCCCAAGCGTTCGAGGGAGAGAGCTGGATCGTTGCCGCTTTGTTTTGACCTGCCGATGAAGCTGAACAACGTCTCGGTGCCTCCAAGCTTTGCGATCTGTGGTTTTACCTGCCGGCTGGGTGGTGAGCAGAGAGGCCAGGGAAAGCTCGAGAGGTTTACAAATTACTTCCTGTGCCAACGTGGCCTGCCCCTCCTGCTTGGGTCTATGCCCCGGCGGGGGGGGGGACTTGTAAAAGTCCCAGCCTGTGTTACTCCACCCAGGATCAGCCCCTGAACCCGAGGCTGTGGACCTTGGTGTGGCCCAAGCCAGCTGAGGCTCGGCGAGCGGGGCCGTCCTCACAGCTCCCTGGCCTCAGTTTCCCCACCAGCCCAGTGGGGATGCCCTGGCCACTTCTCGGGTAGATCAGTTTGAGGAAGTGCTTAGAAGAGTGAGCACGTGATGTATGTGTGAAGCTTTGCTGTTACTGTCAGGAAAATACCAGCAGAGTTCTTCCTCGGAGGAGAAGGAGAGAGTCTGGGGCTTGTCTGTATATTTACTACAGTGGACCAGACAGATGAATTGGTGCGTAATGGCTATTAACACGCATCGAGCGCTGCTAGGGAGCCGGGCCTGGTCTAGGAGCTCGATGCCGATTTGTCTGTTTCGCCAGCATCCCTGTGAGGCTGGAGGGGCTGAGGCGTGACAGGGCAAGCTTGCAGCCCAGCTGGTCCCCTGGATTGACCCCAGGCAGGCTGGCTCCAGAGCCCTCCACCCTCATCCTCCCACCCCCCAGAGCAAGCCTGGGCCAGTGTCCTCGGGGACAGGCATGGAGCTGGTTGGAATTCTCTCCCTGCCTTGGGCTCCCAGGATCTGGTCTCAGCCCACGACCTTGGTCGTGTCCTGTCCTCCCTGAGGTCCTCAACCACCAGGTCCCTTCCTCTCTGTTTCCCGGGAAGGGGGCCAAGGTCAGGGCTTGCCCTCCCCCCAGCCTCAGATAAGGGTGGGGCCTGGAAGGAGGCCCAGAGGCTGCCTGATGCCCCCTCCCCACTCCCCCAGGACCCCGCTGTAGCCATCCCCAAGGGAACGCTCATGGCCATTTTCTGGACCACCGTCTCCTACCTGGCCATCTCAGCCACCATCGGTAAGTAGCCAGCCCAGACCACTGATGGGGCCACAGGCTGGGGCGCAGCTCTCTACAGAGACAGCCGGGCCAGGAGGACATGGCAACCCCAGGAAGTGGAGCCTCCAACCTTATCTTTGGGGGGCACCTTGGTGGTGACCAGAACATCTTCTCGGGGGGTAGTTTATGGTAGAGATGCGGGGTTCAGACCAGGCTCCTCTGCTCCCCTCAAACCTGAAGTTCCAGATTCACAGGTGTGAAAATCCTACAGGACAAGCAGTGCTCCAACTCTAGGAACAGTAATAATAACGACAATGATGGTGATGAAGATGATACTAGCAACTGACGTACCGCGTGCCCAGCCCTTTACATGCTTTATCACATTTAATCCAGGCGCTGTCATTTCTGCCACTTTACAGAGGAGAAAATGAGGGCTCAGAGAGGTTAGGTGACCTGTCCAAGGTCACACAGCCACGGCATGGTGGAGCCAGGCTTTGAACTCAGGCATGGTCTGTTGACACTTGCCTTTCACTGAGATCCTCACAGGTCCTCTGGCTCCCAGGAACCCCCTTGGCCCAGGTCCCTGCCAGTCAGGACGTGAGACTCAGGTCTATGCTTTAAGGAGGACGTTGCGGCCTTAGATGGGTCGCTTGAGCTTGCTTGCCTCTGTAGAGTGGCAACGACCACAAGAATAATCGTAATACCTGCTTCCCAGGGTGGTTAAAGAACTTAGCACAGTGCCTGGCACGTGGTAAGTGCTCCTGCGTGTTAGCTATGTCACTGTCACTGTCATCGTGGTCTTTGCCTGGTCAGGGAAGAGCTGGCCCATCGGCAGCATCTTGTGCTCTGCAGACGCAGCCAGCACTTTGGGGGTGGGGGGAGGAGAGGGAGGGGAGGAGCGAGACCTCCCATGCCCTTCTTGCTCCTCAGGCTCCTGTGTGGTTCGTGACGCCTCGGGGGACCTGAACGACACGATGACCCCCGGCTCTGGTGCCTGCGAGGGGCTGGCCTGTGGCTACGGCTGGAACTTCACCCACTGCTCCCAGCAGCACAGCTGCCGCTACGGCCTCATCAACTACTACCAGGTACCCATGGCCTCTGCTGGGAAGGCTGCCCCCCTAGACGTGGGGAGGGGCCAGGCGACGGCTGGAACAGGCTGGGGTGGATTTGGTTTTGGGGGCTGTGTCCTGGGCTTGGGGGAAAGAGGTTCCGGCTCAGGTGGGGGCCCCTGGGTTTAGTTCCTGCCTCGGTGGGCACTGGGATCCCTGGGGGAGGGTTGATCCAATGGAGGCGTCAGGACCCAGCCCCTGCCCACAGTGGGGACTGGGGTGCCTCAGGTGGGGGCTCTGGGCCCAGCCCCCACTATGGGGGCCCTAAACCCCGTGTCCCCGCAGAGCATGAGCATGGTGTCCGGCTTCGCACCCCTGATCACGGCAGGCATCTTTGGGGCCACCCTCTCCTCTGCGCTGGCCTGCCTCGTCTCTGCCGCCAAAGTCTTCCAGGTGAGGCTGTGGGGGGTGGAGTCTGGGAGGCCCAGGTACCGGATCCCCAGGCGACTGCCACAGAAGCCTGGAGGCGTCATGTGACAGGGATGTCTAGACTGGAGGAAGAAGGGCCAGGGAGCAAACTCTTGCAGGGAGCAGCCCCCTCCTGCCCTGTCCCGCCCTGAACCCCGCCCTGTGCAGCCGGGCACCCCGTCTGCAAGTCCACCGCCCCGGCTTCACTCGCTGTGATCGGCTCCTCTCTTTGTCCTTTCACTGTCTTCATGGGGAGGTGGGGAGACCACTCCCACTTCACAGAGACAGAGCTGGGACCCAGATGGGGGGCGTACCCTGCTGAGGTCACGAGGGAGCAAGGGGGGGCTGGGGTCCAGGTGGCTGCAGGGGCCGGGAGAGGAGGGGGCAGGGCCCAGCCGGTGGGTGAGCGTGTCGTGCTTTGCCCACAGTGTCTGTGCGTGGACCAGCTGTACCCACTGATCGGCTTCTTCGGCAAGGGCTATGGCAAGAACAACGAGCCGGTGCGCGGCTACCTGCTGGCTTACGCCATCGCTGTGGCCTTCATTATCATTGGTGAGAGTCTGCGGGGCACGTCAGGGCTGGCCCCCTCTCCTGGCCGGTGGCCGTGAGGGCCACAGGCAGGACACCTCTCTGTTCTGCTCACCTTGGCGCCCTGCGGCCCCCAGGCCTAGCAGGTAGTGGGCACTCAGAGACTAACTCTTCAGTGGGTGAGGCCCTGGCCGGAGGGAGACTTTGGGGGGTCAGGTGGTCCCTCCCCACCCCACTCCTCCCCCAGGCCAGGCAGGAGGACTGTTCTATGTTGTTAGAAGGGACCCTACCTGCTTCTCCTGGTTCTGCACTCCCACGTCCTGGCAGCCGGGATCCCTCCTGCCAGGTCTGAATTAGCCCCCAGGACACTTTTGGAGCACAGGACAGCTGATAGGTATCCTCCGGAGCTGATACGAACAGCTGGATCAATGTCTCTGCAGGGTATGAACTAGACAAACCTCATTTCTCGGCCCTTGAGCTGCTGGACCCCTTGGGCCTCAAGGGAGGGGATGCCCTCAGAGAAAGAGCCCAGAGAATCAGTGAGTGAGACCGCCTCTCTGTCCTGGCTTTGCCACGTGCCAGCTGTGTGACCCTGGACAAATCAGTCACCTCCCTGAGCCTCAGTTTCCTCATCTGCAAAAGGGGAGCAACAGTGCACAGCAAGTGTGTCGCACATGGGCAGGAAGAAACCATATGTGTATGGACATACACACTTGCACACATATATGGGACTGACTTAGCTGACAAGGCAGACCCCGCTAGGAGAGAGGTGGTCACGCTGAGCAAGGGCAGTGGCCATGCCACAGTGTGATGTCCCCCGGGCCCCACTCTGTATGCAGGAGTGGGGTGGGGGTCTCCTGCTGGTGAACCTCCCCAGGCTGGGAGGGCCTTCCTGCCACAGCTGAATCCCCACTACTCAGGCCAGCATCACCAATCCAGACCCCTCCCCTAGCGGTCTGGTCACTTCCACGCAGGGGAACTTTTCCAGACCCTGGATGCTCCTGGATCACAAACCCAACGAAGGGGCAGCAGGGCCACACCCAGGAGCTGGAAACATCTGGTCGGTCTGGGTGTTCCCCCACTCAACTTGCAGTTCCTATCACCACTCCCGTTCAGATTTGATGTCCTTTTATCTGGGTGGTTCTGACTGGACTTCAGACTGAGGACCATGACCTCGGATGCTCGGGGGCGGGGTTCTTGTGGATTCGGTGGAGTCATGTACGGAAGCCCCAGCACAGGAGAGGTGCTTGTCTTGTTTTGGGATCCCCCAGAAGCAGGCCCCCCGAGACAAGGATTCACACGCAAAAGTGTGTCTGGGGGTGCTGGGGGCCGTGGCAGGGGAGGGGCACCGAGACGGGGAGGGGAGGAGGCAGTTCTCGAGGGGTTTCCTCTGTGGGTGGAAGTGTGACGCAGTCTCAGAGTCCCAGAGAAAAGATGACGCGTGTCCTAGGTCACGCTGTAAGATGTATTTCTTACCGTAATTTGTGGTCACACAAGAGTGCGACAGCCACTGCCCTGGGCCATCCCGTAGCCTGATGGGCTTTACTCTCACACAGCTCTCCATCCTCTTTAAAGCCCCCAGTTTACAGTCTACCGAACATCTGCCCTTTGAGCTTCACGAAATGATGGACCCATTTCATAGATGAGGTTGAGACGAGTTGAGCCTTGGTGGCCTGTCCGGGGTCCTCCACTCTGCGAGGGTAGGGGCCAGGCGGTTCCTCGGTGGGGCTGCCCAACAGACTGTCCTCTCTCTCCCTCGGGTCCCTGAAGCTGAGCTCAACACCATTGCCCCCATCATCTCCAACTTCTTCCTGTGCTCCTACGCTCTCATCAACTTCAGCTGTTTCCACGCCTCCATCACCAACTCGCCCGGTAAGCCACGCCCTCCCCGCTGCGGGAGGAGGCGCCTGGGGCTGGGGTATGGAGGGGGGAGGGCAAGGCGGATGGAAGTGGGCAGACCAAGGTCACCCTTCAAATCAAAAGCAATTAAAGGGACCATTCATAGAATAATAATAGCCACTATTCTTAAGCAAGCACTTACAATGTATACTGGGTATGCATTCATGCCCTGTTTACAGTGTGCAGAGATTTTCCTAGTGCCTTCCTGCACCAATTTTACAGGAGTCAGGAGTCTGACTCCCCGGAGAGGAGAGACAATTGCCCAATGGCACAGACAGGTTGTGCACGTGGCACAGACAGGTTGTGCACGTTGCACATTGCGCAACTCTAGTCGTTGCTGTTCAGAGGTGTCATAGATTTACATGTTTATTATGAAAATTTTCTGGCAGGCGGCAGTAAAGAGTCTGCAGGATGACTTTTTCTAATTAGTCCTAAATCGCTGATAAGCCGGTCACCAGGCCGCCTTTTCTATAGACCAGAGACCATGGTGCCCCCAAAGCGTGCCATGGGGCAGCTGCCCCTAGTGGTGGCCCTGGCATGGCCTCCAGGGGTGGAGCCAGCAGAATCACATCCTTCCCCTCCATGTCCCTGCCTTGGCTCCACGTGAGCCATGGGAGCTGGTGCTGCTGCTGGTGTGTGGCTGGCTTTGGCCGGAGCTAGACACTTCCTCTCTGGTGTAGTCTGTCAACATGGCAGAGCCCTGTGGCCAGCCAAGGTGGGCACGTGGTCCTCCCCAGCACCTCCAGGCCCAGCCCCAGGATTCAGGGTGGCTGGGAGGGTGGGCACAGGCTGGGATCCTGGCCCAGGGCACTGTGGGCATTGCCACCCCGGCCCCGCCCGGCAGCGCTGGCCCAGCAGGAAGCCCCCGAGTGCTGAGCGGGCCCCCGACCTGTGCCCCGACCCAGGATGGAGGCCTTCGTTCCGCTACTACAGCAAGTGGGCGGCACTGTTTGGGGCGGTCATCTCCGTGGTCATCATGTTCCTTCTCACCTGGTGGGCGGCCCTCATTGCCATCGGCGTCGTCCTCTTCCTACTGCTCTACGTCATCTACAAGAAGCCAGGTGTGTGCTCGCGGGCTGCACGGGGCTCAGGGGCCCCCATTTTTCCCAGAGGGCCTACCCTGGGCTCTGGCCCTCCAACCTCGTCCCTCCCCGTGAGGCGGGAATGTGCCTACTCAGAGCCCACGCCTCTACTTCTGGGCCACCCCCGGGCACCCAGGACTCTGGAATTGCCGGCCCAGGTCCATCCTCCTGAGAGTGGCTGGCCCGCTGGTGGGCACACCTAGGCCTGAGGTGGCCAAGGGCTGGCTGATGGAAGGGCAGTGGACAAAGCGCGGACACGTGGGCAGGAGGGCTGTGTGCCCACAGGCAAGGATCCTGGGGTGACCTGGGGGTGGGATGCAGAACTCCAGGAAGCCTGGAATTCTAAATTTCAACCTGGCCTTCCAGGTCATTATGAAGGGCTGTTTGTCAGCGGGGGAGAATATTTTGTGAAGTTTTCTACCTTGATGTAATTTTGAAATATGTGGCCATAGGGTATGTGCAAATGTTAGGAACAGACCTCGGCCGTCCACCTGCCGGGTGGCTCTGCTCCCCTGGGTGCTGGCTCCTGAAGAAGGCTGGCATCCCCTCCCTCTGCATGGCTGGTTTCTCCCAGTCGTTTCTAATCTTGCCCTCACCCCCACGCTCAGAGGTGAACTGGGGCTCCTCGGTGCAGGCCGGCTCCTACAACCTGGCCCTGAGCTCCTCGGTGGGCCTCAACGAGGTGGAGGACCACATCAAGAACTACCGGTGAGCACAGCCTCGGGGACCCCGCCTGGGACCAAGGGCTGGCATGGCCCAGCTCTGGGGGGCTCTAGGCCAAGACCTGTCACCTGCCCCAGGCGGGGAGCAGAGGCAGAGGAGCACCACCCAGCAGTCAGGAGGCCGGGGTCCACATTGCCTGATGGGGACCAAGCAAGTCGAGTCACCTCTCTGTGCCTCAGTTTCCATAGTGGAACATGCTCTTCCAACTGCAAAGGGTGATCCGGTGTTGGAAATCCCAGGGCAATCATTCACAAGGCCGATGGGATGAGCCTTTCCTGGGCGCTCGTCAAAGCTATTCCCCTCCTTGGCAAGGAGAATCGTGTGCCCAGGACCCACTTTCCACCAGATGGCAATGCTAACGATTGTCTGTACCTATTTACGTTGCACTTACTATGAGCCAGGCACTGCACAAAGTCCTTACGCAGCCTCGAGACAACCCTGTGAGGTATATGAAATTACTAACCCCATTCACAGATAAGGACACCGAGGCACAGAGAGGTTAAATAACTGGCCCCAGGTCACACAGCTGGTGAGTGGCCAATTTCTTCTGGCTCCGACTGAGTCTGGTAGTGGCCCTTGACCATGACCCTCAGCTGCCTCTCAACACAGAGACTGAGTCACCCACCCAGGTGACACAGTGAGCTCCTAAGGGATGGGCCTCCCCACTCCTAGTCTTTATTCTTCCCACCACCATGCTGGCCTGGGCAGGGCAGGAGCGCCAGGTGGAGCAGGGAGAAGAGGGGTTTGCCCGAGTGGATCCTGAGCAGGAAGGACAAGGGGAGAACCAGCGTGGTGGCCACCAAGAGAGCTGGAAGGGCCCCAGAGTAGCCCTGAGTCACAGACGGGAAGACGAGGCCACGGGGTGGTCCACCTCTGTGGGAGGAGAGGCGGCAGAAATCCCCGGCACCTGCATTTGGCATCCAGATCCTGGTGGGCCCTGTCCTGATGGCTCATGACCTTTTCCCTTCCTCTCCTCAGCCCCCAGTGCCTGGTGCTCACGGGGCCCCCCAACTTCCGTCCGGCCCTGGTGGACTTTGTGGGCACCTTCACCCGGAACCTCAGCCTGATGATCTGTGGCCACGTGCTTGTGGTGAGTGCCCCCTGCAGGTGGGGTGGGGCGGGGGGGGTGTGGGGGCGGGGATGGGTGGGTGCGGGTGGGAATGGGGGCGCAGGGGCTGCAGAATAGCAGAGCCGGGCGGGGCCCCGTGCCAGCGCGGTTCTCCTTGCTTCCCTGTCCCTCCCACTGGCTGCTCCCCGCTGCTCTGCCTCTCCTCTGCTCCTTCCATCTTCCTCCCCGCCTCCCCCCTCTTCTTTCCTGCCCCAAACTCTGTAAAGGGAAACGGACCCTCTGGATGCTGCTGAGCCCATGGGGCAGCCTCCAGGGTAGAGGAGGGAAGAAGTCTCAGGTCAGAGGGCAAAGGCAGCCCCTGATGTCACCTGCCCCCACCACCCACAGGGACCCCGCAAACAGAGGATGCCTGAGCTCCGGCTCATCGCCAACGGGCACACCAAGTGGCTGAACAAAAGGAAGATCAAGGCCTTCTACTCGGACGTCATCGCCGAGGACCTCCGCAGTGGCGTCCAGATTCTCATGCAGGTGCCGGGGTTCGGGGCTCCCCCTTGGGATGTGCTAACTGGTGTGACAGCCTGGAAGGCGGGACATCCTGAGGGGCTAGTGGAAGCCCTTTTTCTGCAACAAGAGTCCCGCCTCTCTTGCGTCTCCAGCTATGCTGATTCAGGGCACTTTCTAGGGGCGCCCAGGGCCTGGGGACACTGACTTGGAAGCCTGTGGGGCTGTGAGACCATGGACAGATCTTGGTTTTTGGTTTTTTAAAGATATAAGTTGCAGACAGTAAAGTGAGAAAACATTAAGTGTATACTTTGATAAATGTTTACATACACATACCGTCACTCAGATCGAGATCTAGAACATTCTACCGGGCAGTTTGTTTTACTGCTCAGTTTTCTTGTCTGTAAAATGGGAGCAGTTGTTAATTCTGAGTCAACATATGGGAATCCTTTTCAATAGTTTTAAATTTTTCTCAAAGTTAAAGGACAAAAGAGCAGACAGGGTCTCCTTCTGGGGTTATGAAAACATTTTGGGGGTAGATAGAGGTGATGGTTGCACAACATTGAGTATACTAAATGCCACTGAGTTATACCCTTTAAAATGGGTAGTTTTATGTTATGTGAATTTCACCTCAAAAAAATTTTTGAACATTAACAAAGGAGAGAAAAAGCGGTGGCATAGTGGTTAAGCTTGCATGCTCCTCTTTGGCAGCCTGGGGTTCCTGGGTTTGGATCCTGGGCACGGACCCACACACTGCTCAGGCCGTGCTGTGGCAGCATCCCACATACAAAAAAATAGAGGAAGATTGGCATGGATGTTAGCTCAGGGCCAATCTTCCTCACCAAAAAAAAAAGAGAGAGAGAGAGAGAAATATAAAAGACGTATGGATTAGATGACCCAGGAATACTCCAAGCTTCCAAAACATCCAAATTCAAGTCCCGTGTTATGCAAAATAATTCGCTAGAGAGGCAGGATCTGGGCTAACCCAGGACTAATGGGACAGCCCTGTCGTTGGCCCAGGTTTGGAGAGGCCACAGGGGACAGCTTTGGCTGTAGCTTCACCTTTCTCGTGGCATGTCCAGGCAGACAGGACCCTGAACTGGGGGATGTATTTCCTGAGCCCTCGCTACATGGTGGAGAGGGCAGCTGGGCTGCAAGAGAGCCCCACCCTGGTCACAGGACAGAGCCCCTGCGGGGCGTGAGGCCTGATCCCTCACCGCACCCCCACCCCACTGCCCTGCCCCGCCAGGCCGCCGGTCTCGGGAGAATGAAGCCCAACATTCTGGTGGTCGGGTTCAAGAAGAACTGGCAGTCGGCTCACCCGGCCACGGTAGAGGACTACATCGGCATCCTGCAGTGAGTGAGGGCGGCAGGGACGCAGGGCCTCGGGTCTGTCAAGTGGGGCCTTTGGAGTTTCCTGGGTCTTAGGACGCAAAGGGGAAGCAGTGGGTGCTATCAAGAAGCTGAGTCCGGAGGCCGAGTGGGTTAAGTTCGCGCGTTCCACTTCGGCGCCCCGGGGTTTCGCAGGTTCGGATCCTGGGTGCGGACATGGTATCACTCATCAGGCCACGCTGAGGCGGTGTCCCACATGCCACAACTAGAAGGACCCACAACTAAAATATACAACTATGTACTGGGGGGATTTGTGGGGAGAAAAAGCAAAAAAAAAAAAAAAAAGAAAAGAAGCTGAGTCTGCTGGTTCAAAGCCGAGGAGGAAACAGACAGACTGGGGGTTCCCCACTCTGATCTGGACACCAAGCTGGGCAGGGAACAGGCAGGTAACACAGTGAAGAGAGCCAGGTGTGGGACAACAGGGAGCGGTGAGGACTGTGGTGAACTAGAGACAGCAGCTGTTACTTGGCGCCAGCCAGTTGTGCCCAGACGGAAATGTGGGCCCAGGGTTGCCAGACCTAGTTTTACAGAGCAGTTGAAAAGGTATGTTTTTAGGTGAAAACCTTGTGCCCTCCTGTGGGCTGCACAAGACCTACAGATGGACAGCTCTCGAGCTGTAGGGTGGTACCACTAATCAAGACGTGAAAGCAGACCTCCGAGGAGGCGACAAGACAAGTGTGGGGAGTGGGACCAGGGGAAGAACTCGCTGGGGATTTCAGGGTTCACTCCAAACCCTTTCTCCTTCAGCTCTTGCTCTGCAAGGTCCAGAAAACGCCTGCCTGAGTCGCTTTTCTGCATTGAGGTGGTACAGAGAGGCAGTGTGCAATAGCATTTAAAGCACACAAGGCTGAGTGTGGGGGGCTGGGCCTGCCTCCGGGTCTGCTGTGAGCCAGCCGTGTGACTCTGAGCCGTGGCCCCCATCGAAATCCCAGCACGCGGTGTTGGACTGCCTGCTCTCAGGCCCCCTCCCCAGCTCCAACATTCCAAGACTCCGCATGCTGGAGAAGGTGCCCGTCCCGGAGACGTGTAATGCTGCAGAGGTCACCCAGGGCGGGGCTTGGCCTGTTCCGTCAAACCCTAATGCGGGGCTCTCGGGCACTGTGTCAACCAGGCAGTGAATGTTCTTCTGGGGCAGGAGGCTTCCAGATCTGGTGGTCAACAGACAATCTATTGCTGCCTTCCCGAGCGAGGCCCTCCCTGTGCGGATGTGTGCCCTCGGGGATTACAGGCTCAGCTCTTTAACTCTAATCCCAGCTGGCCGCTTCCTCCATTGTCTGCAAGTGACTCCCCCAAACTCAGTTTTCGCATCTGTAAAGTGGGGATAATAATGCCCATCCCCACCTCTGTTGGCAGAGCTCTGAGGATTTTCCAAACGTATCAGGAGGACAGCGCCTGGCTCCAAGACTGGCCTGACTTGGTTTCCCCCCAAGTACAGGGTCCACAGGATCTCCGGGGCCACAGACTATAGAACTGAAGAGGTCCTGGGACTCTCCAATTCCCGGGGATGGGGAGACTGAGGCTCAGAGAGCAGAAAGGGTGTGGCGGGCGGCAGAGCCAGCTCTCAACAGGTGGCCTCCTGCGGCCTGGGGGCTGGGACCAGGAGGAGCCTGACCCACCTCCTCTCTCTCCAGCGATGCTTTTGATTTCAACTACGGTGTGTGTGTCATGAGGATGCGTGAGGGGCTCAACATCTCGGAGATGATGCAGGCACACAGTGAGTGCACACCCCACCTGCTTGGCACCCCTGTCAAAAACTGGAACAGGATTCCAGAAAGTTCTAGAACCCAATTTTTTTTTAAGTGGTGGAGGGAAGAAAGTGGAAAATTAGTAAGGAATAAAAGGTCACAGACTCCTAGAAAGTCAGCTTTTGATGCTCCCTTAGAGCTCATTGGGTTCCCAAATGGAGAAACTGAGGCCCAGACAGGGGAAGTGACCAGTTCAAGGTCATGCTTCCAGCTTAGGGCAGAACCGAGACTGGAACCCAGAGCTCGCCCAGGCTCGATGAATGCTTTTGTAACCAGATGGGATAAAGAGGTTCGAGGAGAGAGAAAAGGAAGAGAGAGGAGAATGCCCTTGTGAAGACACCGGAATACGAGCATGCGCACGTAGGCCATGACAACTGGACATTTTGGTCTCTGAGACCATCGTTGGGGCCCCCAGTGAGGAGGTGTTTTACATGCAAAGTCACATATGAATACGCAGACTCTGAATCAGTGATATTTGGAGGTGTGAAAGAAATCGCATATATGAAAACAAACAGGGGCAGGGGTGCGGGGGAGCTGGAAGGAGTGGACCTGGGTTTCCTGCAGGCAGGGCCTGGTGTCGTCCGTCCACGTCACCCAGTGCGGAGCGCACACCCAGCCCAGAGCAGTTGTTCCGTGACTATTTATCAGCCAGTCTGTGCAGAGCAGCAGCCTCGCTCCTGATGACGCTGTGCTAGGCGCTGGGGGCGCGCAGGAAACTAAACTGGGTCTGCCCTTGGGGAGCTGATGATCCAGCGGGAAAAGCAGTGGCCTCATAAGTCATTTCAGACAGTGACTCCGACACCGCGCACGCGGTCAGGAAGGCCTCCCTGAGGAGGGGGCCTTTTGCTAGAAGTGGGGCTGGGGAAGGCGTGCTCCTGGCTCAGGGAGCACCCACCACTGAGGCCTGCGCGGGGGCATGAGCGAGCGAGGTCTGAGGAGCAGAAAGAAGCCAGTGGAGCTGGAGCATAAAGGGCCGGGTCCAGAGGGCGGGGCCCAATCAGTGGCAGGAAGGAGCCGGGACTCTTCCTGGTGTGAAGAGGAGGAACCAGGACTTGCCCCAGGCAGGGGAGCCTAGGGACAAAGCTGCCCTCTCTCTTGCAGTTAACCCCGTGTTTGACCCAGCGGAGGACCGCAAGGAAGCCATCGCCCGCGGGGCCAGGCCTTCTGTCTCCGGCACACGTCAGTCTCCACCCCATGCAGACCCACAGAGTGCTCAGGGCCCTTGCCCTGTGGGGCAGCTAGTGGTGGGCCACACGGGACCTTGGTCAAGGGCAGGAGGCTCCGGAGACCTGGGGTCGGGTGACTGAAGGCGACGGCTTGGGCAGTGTTAAAGACTGCCAGCCGTGCTGAGGACTTCAGTGTCCGGGCATCGTGGAAACCCACCCAGCAGGCTCTGGGCCCGTGTTCCGCCCCCTTCAAGGTCCCACCAGTCATGCTCAAGTGTGACAGGTAGGGAGGGGAGGGGTAGGGTTCTCCTTCAGTCCTTTCCCACTGATGCTCTGGGAGGCAGGGGAGCCACAGTGCAGGAGCTGGGGGCATCCTGTGGGCATCTTTGAGGGGCACAGAGGAGTCTTTAAGAGAATGGCCCCCATCCCCAGTGCCCACCAGAATCCTGGGAGACAGAAGCTAGGAGCAAGGGAGGGGTGCATCATAGACCCCCACTCCTGGTCAACCTGCCAGAGCATCAGAGACTCAGTGTTGAAGAGCCATTGGTGCTCCGGGCCAGGCCCCCATGCATGACCTCAGCAGGGCGCTCCAGCACTGCGTGCACAGCCCCGGTGACGGCAAGCCCACCTCACAGGGCAGCTGGCTCTGTTTTCAGACAGACTCAGGCATGTGAATGTGCTCTGCTCCCATGTGACGTGCGCCTCTGCTCCTGCAGTGGACCCCGAGGCCCTGGTGCGGGAGGAGCAGGCCAGCACCATCTTCCAGTCGGAGCAGGGCAAGAAGACCATCGACATCTACTGGCTATTCGACGATGGAGGTCAGCGCCCCCTTGGACACCGGCTCTGCTGGGGCCGCTTCCCTCCATGATTCTGTTCTCTTGGCCTGTGCTTCTTGGCAGCTCTCAACAAGGCCTCCGGTGGGACCTCAGAGCCCAGCAGAGGGGACTCAGGGCCCCAGGGCCTCCCATTGGGCTCGGGGGAGGCTGGCTGGGCCCTTCTCTTGGATCAGTGTTTCAGCTGTAAAATGAGGACTTTACAGGAGGAGCTGAGGTCAACATGAGGTGGAAGGTTCAGATGGGCCGGCCTTAGGGGTCACAGCACGTGACATAAACGGGAGATTTGGGCTGCTGCACAGGAAAGCTATAGGGATATTCTTTATTTCCAAAAGAAATACGCTCTCTCCCATTTTTCTTAAAACATATGGCTCTCAGCTTTATGTTCCCACCTTGGATAGAGTCCTAGATAGAGAGAAAATGTTTCTGCTCCAAGAGGCTGCCTCCTATGAGTGATGGCTGATATAGACGGAGTACTTACCGTATGCTTGACACCAAGTGCTTTACACGGATTGACCTAAGGCAAGCCACAGGCAGGAACTGTTTTTAACCCCCTTTACAAATAGGGAAACTGAGGCACAGAGTGACTACGTAATCTGTGGCTTATGCAGTGAGAAGTGACAGCAATCTTGATTTTCACATGAAATCCCCCAATTATTAAAAGCCAGCTCACTTATTCCAAACATTATGCGGGCCACATAAGCTCCGCCCACAGATCCTCTGTGTGCCGCTCTGGTTTAGTCCCGCGAGCTCTTTATACAGGTGGGTAAACTGAGGTCCAGAGAGGGGATGGGTTTGCTAGTGGCGGAGCGGAAACCCAGAGAGGGCTTTACCCTGAGAGCGTTTTCCTCTTGACCCCTGGAACCCTCCTTGCCAGGCCTCACCCTCCTCATCCCCTACCTCCTGGGCCGCAAGAAAAGGTGGAGCAAGTGCGCGATCCGTGTGTTTGTGGGCGGCCAGATCAACAGGATGGACCAGGAGCGGAAGGCGTAAGCGGGGAGCGCGGGCAGGGGTGGGGGTGCCACGCAGGACCAGCACATCCCGGCTCTATCCCAGCGTCCCCCGCCCGCTCCCCCCACCCTCAGGCGCCGTCCCCAGGTGGGCTCCGCTCTCTCCAGGTCACAGCGATGGTGAGGGAGCTCCGGGCAGGAGCAGGTTTCTCTCCATTCCAGAAGTCATTTTGGTGTCCTTTAAGAAGATGCAGACGGCCCCGTCCCAGCCGTGACAGGGAGGGTGTTCAATTTGAAAATCACCATCTCCTCAAGGAGAAACCTGTGTGAAATGAAGGCTAGAGAAGGCCCCTCCTCCTGAGAAATGGGGTGCAGCTTCGAGTCCTTCAGTGCAATGTCCCCCAAGCTTGGCATGCTGTCCCTGGTGAGACCAGAGGTGACTGTAGTGGCCCAGAGAAGGGGCAGCGAATCCCACAGAATCTCTTGGTGAGAGGTGACCTTTAATTTTCCCAATCTGTGGTTGATTCTGTGCTCAGGAATCCATGCGAATCTCCTGTCCAAGCACCAGAGGGCAGGCCTGCCTGGGCTCGGCAGGCTGTGCGTCTGGCCGGAATTTAGTGACGTTCTTTTATTTACTCGAGTTTTATTAATCGCCTCTTTCTGGCATGAGATGCTGGTTCTCTGTTTGGAATGGTGATATGAAATTTCCTTTCAACATGTGGCTAAGTAAGAATGTGAGTTGATTTAAGCTGAAAAGGAAGTAAATAGTAAGGCAGATACACAGGTCGGGGGGGTGGCAGGAGTCGGGCAGGTGGCACATGTGTGCTTAGAGTTGGGCGACTGCTGCTTACAGCAAGGTCAAATGAGGTCGGAGGTCGTAGGGTAGAGGACCACTGGAGGGGGCACATGGGCAGGGAAGGATGGGGGGCTTGCCCAAAGTCGTGCAGTAACTAGCCCAAGAGAAGAAACCCTGCTCTGCCTCTAGTGCCCTCGGCAGCCATCCCAGCTGTGACACCCCTGGGTTGGGACCTCAGGCCGTGCCACCCTGGTCCTACACCAGGACTACATCCGCAGGACCCCTTCTCAGTCACCTCCTGCGAGTTAAGGGCAACCCAGCCATCGCAGCTCGTTGTCCTCACTCTTGTTGAGAACTTCTCCACTGGCAGGCCCTACTCAGCAATGCTCGGGGCAAACAGCTTCTCTGGCCTCCCAAGGGTGCAGAAGCAGCCCAGCCTCCTGACCCAGCCCCCAGGGGAAGCTGGGCTCAGCTGGCCTCACTCAGCTAGAGCCCGCAGACCCGCAGGGTCACGGGGTGCTTTCAAGCAGAGCTTGTGATATCTCCTCGGCTCCCCAACCGTCTCTCTACTGCTCTACTGGGCCACGCCCTCTGCCCTCCTCGTGAACCCTGGCCAGGCCTGAGCTGCCTCCTGCCCGCCTCTCCCCCGCAACCCCATACACCGAGATGTCGAGATGTCAGCGGCCCCCAGCTCTGCTTCCCTAATTTCACTCCCAAGGTCAGGGGCCTGCAGTGGCTTGACAGCTGGGCCCCAGCCTGGTCCTTCTGGCTTGTCTCCCTCACCTTTCTCTTCCCTGACCCCCCACTGCTCCCACTCCACCCCCTGCACCCCCATACCGTCACTCATTTGGACTCCCCCGCTGGGGCGCTCGCATCCTGCCAACTAGTCCTGGGATATCACCAAAGCCATGTCCCACCCAGGGATTCTGATGCAGTGAGGGGCTAGGGCAGAGGCAGGCCTGTTGTTTACAAGGCTCCTTGGGTTATTCCAGTGTGGACACACCCCACCCCACCTGCTTTGGCCTATAATAAGTTTACCCACCATGCACCATTCAGCCAGATCGCCACCTCCTCTGTGAAGCCTTCCCTGATTGCTGCAAACCACAGCTGGCGTCTCCTCCCCTGTTGGAGGCAAAGTTGGCACCATCTGGCTCACTACCCCTGGTTCCGTACCTTGTTCGTGTGTGTTACCTTTGCCCAGCCGCCCTGTAATGTCCTGTATTTACCTTCCCGTCCCATAGACTTCTTCTTCTCAAGGTGTGGTCTATGGATCAGCAGCTTCCCATCTCCCGGGATCTTCTCAGAAATGCAGAATCCCAGGCCCTGACCCAGATCAGCTGAATCAGAATGTGCACTGCAGCGAGGTCCCCGGCTGATGCGCGGGTGTGCTAGGACAGGGGTGGCCCCCAGATGCTTGGGAAATACTGGTCGACAAATCAATCACTTGTCATTTGACCTATGTTATCAGTACTCGTTTATTGTCCGTCCCTCCCGGGTTAGAATGTAAACTCTGTGAGGGCGGTGAGCAGATTGGACTTGTTCTGCTCACTGCTCTCTCCTCAGCAGGCGCGCCATAAAAATTCATTGAATGAATGAGTAAGTACGATTTTAAACATCTCCGTCTTCCAGGATCATTTCTCTGCTGAGCAAGTTCCGACTGGGCTTCCATGAAGTTCACGTCCTTCCCGACATCAACCAGAAGCCGCGGGCTGAGCAGTGAGTTCTCCGTACTAGGGGTTCCAGGCAGAAGGGCGAGCCGGGTACGCTGCAGCCCCTCTGCCCATTGTCCCTTTCTCCCTGTGAGCAGAGGGCGGAGGGCTGCCCGCCCCACCGCCACCGAGACAGGCTCCAGGAGAGAAAGAGGAAGGGTCAGGCTTTGCAGCCGTTTATTTTCATGCTTATGGTCCTCTCTTTGCATCCGGGAGCTCTGGGCTTTGGCAGAAGCACACCTGGGCTGGAGGCGGGTGGATTTTCACATTCGTGCTTTTCTTAGAGCAAGTGGTTTTTACACTGTTACTGGTGCGGGTCGTGGCTGTTGTGCCGCTTGAGCAGAGGCTTGTGTCTCATCCACAGGGACCCCCCACGCCCACCCCACAGGCCGAGGGAGACTCTGGCTTCACACATCACCAGCCCAGGCTGCTGGCTACTCATAAAAGGCTGATTTTACCTGGGAAACTGCCTAGTTTTCTCAGTTTTCCCCACGACCCTGAGTGTTTTCATCAGACAGCGGTTCTCAAACCTTGGCATGTATCGGAATCACCACCTGCTGGCTCTCGCCCCCACGATTCTGAGTTAGTGGGTCTGAGGTGGGACCCGAGAACCTGCACGTCTAACAAGCTCTCAGGGGCTGGTGCAGGCACCCCACTTTGAGAACCACTGTGTTAGCGACAATCCACGGAAAGGGCTTAAAAGGTAGCACCCAGCCCAGAATCAGTGTTCCATAGATGCTGGGTTTGTGGCTTCTGCCTACTTGTCGCTTCTGAGCTCTGTCTGCATCTTGACCTTCTCTGCAGTCCCAGCTCCACTGCAAACTGCCTCCTTCTCCAGGCATTGCCTCGTTTAAATTCCTGAAAAAGCGATTGTGTCTAGACCAGCTCATCCCTTCCTGCTGGGCTAAGTTACTGGAAAGGCTGTTTCTTGGCTACCTTTGGTGCACTTGGCTGTGGCCAGGGGTGGCATAGTCACATGTCCCAAGACCCATGGCTGGAGGGCAGCTCTTTCTGCAGGAGCCACGGCAGAGGCACATCCTCTTCATGGGGGCTGAGGGGTGCTGGAGCAAACAGAACGGAAGGTGCAAAGGCCCTGAGGCAGAAGCATGGCAGCTGCAGTCCCTGATGTTACAGTAACACAGTGCTTGGAGTGGGGAACATGTTGAATGGTCTGGGCAACAGCTCCCCTCCTGCCGCCATGCACCTGTGAGCATGCAGACTTTAAGCAAACCCCTGTGTGAGTTTGCAGCAGGGCTCAATTGTGGGATCAGAAGAAACTATTTCCTTTCCTAATGATTCAATTTCATATTCTTAGAATAAGACGTTTACAACAGAATTTGCTTTCTGTAAATCAATCTCCATGAGGTTCTCCAGGACTCTGTCTCTGCAGTCAAGTAAGGTCGGTCCTGCCCTCCTGGCCCTTACTTCTCCCTTGGAACTCCCATGACCTGGAAAGGGAAAGAGGTCAAGACAGGACTTAGCAGTGATGGACAGAGTCATCCTGCCGTTTGCTCAGGGCTGTGCTTGGAGCCGCAGGGCAAATGCGCACACTGCAGCCCTGCCCTGCAGGGTTTACCCTGGCTGAAGTGCAGGCTGGAGGACGTCAGGAGCCATCTCAATGCTGCAGAGACGGACCAGGATGCCAGAGAGGATGGATCGTCTCTGTTGGTGGAGGCCCAAAGCCTTGAGAAAGGCCTTGAACAGAGAGAGACAGGGAACACCTTCCAGGCGGGGAGTGCTGCGACAGCCAGCGTGCAGACCCCGTGCAGCATCTCCGATCTTTAATCCCCTCCTTTGCCCCCATCTGCCTCCACCTCCTGGACAATTTCTCCCCACCCTTGCACAGTCAAACTTCTCCGAAGTGAAGTTCTACTGTCGTCACTTCCTCCCCAGCCCTCCTCCTCCCGCTCGCTCAGGACTGCCTTCCACCACTGCTCCACTGAAATCACCCCGGCCGGCGTCATCGGTGACCTCTGCACCGACAGATCCACAGAGCCCACACCTGTCCTCAACTTCCTCCGCCTGTCAGTTGCCTTTGACACAGTGATCCTTCTGGAAACAGTTCTTTGGGTTCTGAGACGCCACCTCTACTGGTTTCCTCCTACCTCAGGGGTCCTTCTTTCAGTTTCCTTTGCTGACTCGTCCTCCTTTGCCTGACTTACACTTGTTGGCATCCTTGGGGTTCGGCCCTGGACCCTTGTCTCTTTACTCTGTCCCCAGGTGAGCTCATCCATCTTCATTGCTTCAGATGGCCTCATCTGAATGCCGACCAGTCCAAATTTCTATCTTTAATAATGTAAGTCAGATCGCATAGAAACCCTCCAACAGCTTCCTGTCTCGCTCGGGGCAAATAACAAAGGCCTGCCTGATCTGGCCCCTCACGACCTGTCTGTCCTTGCCTCCTCCCGCTCTCCCTGCATGCACCTCGTTCCAGACGCCTGGGTTCCTTCACTGCTCCCCAGACAGACCAAGCATGCTTCGGCCTCAGGGCCTTTGCTCCTTCAGTTCTGTTTGCTCCAGCACTCCCTGCCCTGTGCATAGCTGGCTTCAGAAGGACAGGCGTCCTTTGGGTCCAGAGAAGCCTTCCCCACCCCCGTTGTCCCCCATCCCAGCATTCAGTTTGTGCCTGCACAAAACCTCCAATCTATGTTTATTTGCCTGTTTGTCACCCAGCAGACCTTGAGCTCTGTGAGGATGGGGGAGCTTGTCTGGTTTGTTCACCGTTGTGTAGCGCAGAGCCTGGCTCAGAACAGTGCTCAGTCACCACCTGTGGCACAGTCTGTGGGTGGAGGTGGGTCCCAGGTCAGCTGTCAGGGACAACGCGTGGAGGTTCTGTTGAAAGCCGGACCCACCCATCAGTGCTGAATTCAGCAAGGGAGCTGCCTCGATGTGAAAGGCAGCGTCAGAATGGGGTTCAGCCTGACACATATGTCCCTGTGGCATCTGCCTCCATCTCCCTCCAGGGCCTGCTTTCCCTGGAGACCGCGCCTTCGTGCCCCATCTCACCTGCTCTCTCTCCCCAGCACCAAGCGGTTTGAGGACATGATCGCACCCTTCCGCCTGAACGATGGCTTCAAGGACGAGGCCACGGTCACTGAGATGAGGCGGGACTGCCCCTGGAAGATCTCGGATGAGGAGATTAACAAGAATAGAGTCAAGGTGCCGGAGAGAGGAGGCCTTGCTGGGCTGGGGTGGGGTCAAGTTCCCACCGGGGTCAGGGCCCTGTGCCCCATCTCACCTGAGCTTCTTCAACTCCTGCCCCTTGACCCTCCACCCTGCTCCCGCGTGCCCCCCGCCCCTAGATATCCTGAAGCCACAAATGCTCGGGCTGCCCGGTAACCCAGATGTGGAACTCAGAGCCAGCCTTGGTGTGGGAGCCTGGTCCTCCTGCCCATGTTGAGCCAGCCCCCACCTTGGCGACGGGCTGCCCAGAGCCCCTCTCCCTCTACTCCCCATTCCTCCCTGCCTGCTGGAAGGGACTTGTGAGACAAGTGGTGAAGGTCAAGGCAGATTTGTCCTGTGGCCCAACAAGGCAGGCGGCCCTCTGCCCAGTCAGCATCTCCAGGCCTCTAATGAGGGCTAAAGGAGAGCGGGGCTGCGGCGGCCATTGCAAGGTGGGACCAGGGGTCGCAGCTCTGCTCCCTGGGTGCTGCGGGTCCATGCTCCTCCCTGGGGTGATTTTGCCCCTCAGAGGACGTGTGCAAGCTCTGGAGACATTTTCCATTATCCCCACTGGGGGGTGGGATTGCTGCTGTCGCTTAGTGAGTACGTGACAGCATCACCTAGGATGCTGCTAGACATCCTACGACCCACAGGACAGTTCCCACAATGAAGAATTGTTCCACCCAGACGTCAGTGGTACGAGATCCAGTCCCTGGTCTAGGTTAACTCACTTTTTCATTCTCGCAAATGGGGTGTCCATCCACTATCAGACTCTGAGTGTCAGTCATTTCTGAACAGTTTGGAGACAGGTCTTGGGGTGGGAGGGAGTCTCCCCCACAACCAGCCCACACGAGCTTTGAGGAATTCCCTGATCCGTCAGCCCGGAGGCCCTGCCCCCAAGGGCCCACAGCTGCCCGGCTCCTGGGGGCGTGCTGAGTAAAGCTGGCGTCTGTGAAGGCTGATGCCTTCTCCGTTCCAGAGGCGCCGGAGCGCTCCACCCCTGCTCCGAGTCCACCTTATCAAGTGCCTTCCAGGACGAGGCCCTCTGCTTGGTGCTTTTGCACAGGTTCTCTCCCCCTATCCTCCCACATTCCCTGGGGAGGGTATTACCATGCCCATTTTACAGATAAAGACCGTGAAGTTCAGGGAGGCAACGTGCCCTGCTCAGGTTCTCTCTGCTGAGGACCATCGGGGCTGGGGTTTGAACCCAGCTCTCCGACACAACGTAAAGTGCTCTCTCCCCGCTCTCTTGCTGGTCATGGTAACAAGGTCAGGCAAGGAGAAACCAAGGAGGATTTCTCAAGGAAGTGAGCTAGGCACTCAGTTACTGTGAGGAGCCCCTTCCTTCCTGGAGGCAGGAGCATCTATAATGCTGTAGGAGGAATCATTCAGGCACCCACTCTGAAAGGTTAAAAGAGGCCCCTGGGCTTGGTGGGAACTGCTCCCGGGGAGGTGGGGAGTGACCATGTGGCTTTCCTCGCCCCAGTCCCTTCGGCAGGTGAGGCTGAACGAGATTCTGCTGGATTACTCCCGAGATGCCGCTCTTGTTGTCATGTGAGTAGCGCCCGGCGGGAGGGGAAGCCAGTCTCAGAGGCCAGAGGTGTCAGCTCTGGGAAGGGTGGACACCGGCCGAGGCCCCGAGCCTTCCCTTGTGAGGTGGAAGTGCCCACAGGTCCTGTAAACACAGCCCTAGTAGCCTCTCAGCCGGTGCCGGGCCTGTGTCCACCCCGTGCCCCTGGCAGAGTTCCAGGCCTCGCACACCCCAGGCCTCACTGACTCCCCTCACCTGGGCTTTTCCCTGGTGTGTTGCCTTTTCCTGCCAAACTCGTCTTGGCAAAGTGGACCCAGCTCATTCCAGAAGAAAATCGATTCCTAGTTGGTTGAGAATCATCTAGCCCTCTTTTCCATTGCCCACCTCCAACTGACGTTGGTGCCCAGCCTGCAGAGCAGGGCGGCAGAAGCAGAGGCCTTCCCGGCCCCAGCGGTTCCAGCTCCGTGCTGGTCAGACCCTTGGGCTGCCGCTGCTGCTGCCTGTGTCCAGGGAGGAGCTGCTTCTGGTGGGTATTGGCCAAGGCCAAGTCTGTGGAAGGTGACAGTGAGGCAGAGAGAGTCTCGGGGTGGCTCTGCTCTCTGGGAGCCCACGAGGAAGAACATGGTCAACCACGCCACCTGAGTCCCCTCAAAGCTCAGAGGGAATGAGGGTACTTGCCAAGGCGTGAACCTGGCCTGTCCTACATTTCCTGGGGGCTAGCCACCTGGGAATTCCGTGGGACAGACAGCCGAGAATCCTGCTGAGCCTGTTTTTCCATCCCCTGAAACCAGGATGAAGCACTCAATTTGCAGGGCCCAGTGCAAAATGAACATGTGGGGCCCTTATTCAGAAACTGTTAAGAATGTCAAGAGGGTAACAGCAGAGCATGAGACCCAGCAAGGGGCCCTCCTCTGTGCAGGGCCGTGTGAACACAGATTGCACACCCATGAAGCTGGCCCTGCCTGAAACGGTGCTTCCTGGGGCTTTTAGGGAGATGATTTTTTGTGCAAAGAAAGTGCTCCACATTTGCTTTGACGTGGGAACTGTGACAAGGAGAAGGGCCGGGCTTATCTCCAAGCCTCTGGCCAACACTTTGCAGAGAATGTTCCTGGGGCGAGGTTGGCCTGGGTGCAGACTGAGTCACAGTGCAAGACAGTGAGAAGGGCTTCGTCCTGAGATGGCTCCCTGCACCTTTTGTGGGTGTGATACCTGGGTGTGCCAACCGCGTCTTCGTGGATGCCACCTCTGTTCAGAGAAGCAAGTTTGCATTCTGTCTCTGCTGTTAGCCCACAGTGTGGTCTTGGGCAAGTGACCCAACTTCTCTGAGCCTTAGTTTCCCTGATTACAGAGAAGAGTTAAACTAGATTATTTCTCCAAGATTTTCTTTCAGTCTAACATGCTATGGTTCTAAGTGTATTTGCCCTAAAATGAGTCAGTCTCCCAGGCTATCAGATGAGGAATTTCATCCCTGGACGTGTCCATCTGCTGGCACCTCGGCTCTCCCACTCCCTCAGCCCCAGACTTCGTGGGGAAGCCAGTCCCTGCCTGCCAGCCTTTGTGGAATTAGCTGAGACAAATAACCGTGAGGCCAGCCATCCTGAGAAGACGCGGGCACACAGCATCCCCCCCATGGCGGCAGCCGCAGCTGTTGCCCAGAGGGCCCGGCTGTCGGGCCAACTCAGTGGGAGGACAGAGCAGCTGCCGATTTGTGGTGCTGACCTCCAGCCTGGAGACGCGCCCTGGTTTCAAAAAGTTCAGTCTGAGCGTCACCTTCACCAGGGCCACCACGAGCTTGTGGAAAATGGCAAATTCCTCAGTTCCCTCCAGACAAGGGTCTGGAGCGGAGCCCAGGAAGCTGCCTTCCCCAGGAATTATGAGGAAGAAATCATCCTCCCCAGCCGCGGCGAAACGACAACATCACGTTGTCCAGCACTTCAGGGAGCCTGCGTGGAGCATTTTCTAGAGCGGGTTTGAGGCAGATCTTGGCTGTTTATTGTCTACTAATCGATCAGTGGTTTATCTGATTAATGGCCATGTTTGAGTTCAGCTTAACCCGCAGAGCTGATAAACCAGCCTCGTAACCACTCCGACGGCCTTTGACGAGACTAACCACCTACTTCTGGCCTAACTTTCCAGCCTAGACACCTCTTTCTTCCATAAAGACTCCCTCCTTGAGGCCAAATAGCAATGATCGAAATAATGATAATCGACATCGCATTTTATGGAATTGAGTCTCTGCGACACTCAAGGCCCTGGGCCAAATTAATTTTCAGAACTCTGTGAAGTGGTTCTATTTTGTCTGCCTCCACACACGCTTTGGAGAGGAGGAAGCTGAGTCTCCGAGGAGCTCATCCTCTTGTGCAGGATCTCCTGGCTGCGACGCGGGGAGCGGCTTCGAAGCCTGCGACATGTTCTGACGTGGGATTATCATTCCACATCTAGGTTAGATCCAAGGCTGCCTTTCTCTGTGGCTAAGAGCTGCAATTCTGAACAAAAAGTTCCTTTGTTCTGGAGCAGCTTTGTTTCTAAAGATTAGTAGCTTTAAGTGCATGCATCCTGTGAGCAGGAATAGAGCGTCATTGACTCTCGCTGGGGGTGACCGTAAGGGAGTCTGTCCCTCGGACAGGTGGACAGGCTCTGCTGGGGGAGGGAACTGCACGCTGAAGCTTGAAAGGCCACAGCAGGGGGGGTGGGAGGGCCCTGCCCCTGCTAAAGCAGCCCCCAGTCTCCTGGGGGCCTTTGGGCCTCTGATGTTTCTGAATTCAGTCCTGGAAAATGATCCCAACGGGCGTTTTCAGCCTCTGGCATAAATGTTGAATCAGGAAAGTTAGGTTTCAATATCCCACTTCCCTTTTCCCTGGCAAGTCACCAGACAAACAAAAACGTTCTAACTAAGGTGACACTAGCTTATTGACATGTCCTTGTTCCCATCTGCCTTCCCCCATCCTGGGGACCTTGCCTCTTAAAGGAGGGTGGTGCTTGTCCCAAGCGAAGCATTGAGGATGGAATTTTAAATAAGGGGCTCTGTTTAGGGACCCCCATTTGCCTTCTCAGCAGAGGTGGGCGTTGCAGTGAGCAGAGGCAGCTGGGGGACCTTGGTTCAAGTCCCAGCTTGTGTGGTCACTGGCTTGGTCAGCTCGTGCTGGTGAATAATCCCGAGTGCTGACAGGAGCTGCTGATGTTAGGAAGGGCTTGCTCTGTGCCGGGCGTTGTGCGACATTCTTCCTGTGTTTCGTCTTCTTTAGAGCTCACGAACATCCCCTGAGGAGGTTTCTGTGTCCTCACTTTGAGGAAGAGAAAACTGAGGCTCAGGCACCACGTGGCTGAGGAAGTGACAAAGCCACGACTCCTATCTCCTCTCTGACACCAGAGCCCGTGCTCTGAGCCCAGCGTCCTCACACAGCACCCCCCGTCTGCCCAGGTCCCCTCAACTGGGAGAGAGGCTGTTGCTGCGGGCCCTGCCCTTCCCCCAGGGCTGTTTAGAGGTTCAGATGAAGTAATACCTGTGGACGTACTTTGGGAAAACAAAGGGCAGTCCCACCTAAGGTGCCGGGGCCCCTCCTTCATGTCCCGCCAGCTGGGTCTGGAGATGCCGGCTTTCCAGGAGCCAAGAGCAGGGCAGCTGCAGCCATCCTGAAGCATTTTTGGAATCTCGAGATGGTGGAAAGTCCCTTCCTGAAATAGCCATGGAAATACGGCTGAAGAGCATTCCCGGGCATCGCGGTATTTGCGCAGCATTGCAGCAGACAAGGGGCCCTCCCAGGGCAATGGCAGAGTCCTCCTCCCTGGGCCTTGCATACGTGGCAGGAGGCAGGGCTAGGACACGCAGCTGAAACACGTGAACATGTCACATTCTTGTGGCCACAGGCAGGTGTGTGGCCAGAGAGGCAAGGCTGGCATGATTCGAGTGGCCAGATGGGGTGGATCACCCACAACAGCTCAACAGTATCAGACTGTGTTCTAGGCCCAGGGAAAGGGTGGTGAACAAGACAGACCAGGCCTGAACATGCAGTCTAGTAGGGAGACAGACAACCAACAAATAAATGAAGGAGATCTTGAGGGTGTGAAGTGCTATGAAGACAATGACATAGGGTGATACGATAAAGACAGATGGGAGGTCAGCTCTGGAGGGGGTGATCAGAGAAGGAGGTCCCTTGAGCCAAGACCTGAGTGATTCCAAGGAGCCAACCTTCAAAGAGCTGGGGGTGCTGCCTTCTGAGTGGAGAGAACATCTCATGCAAAGGCCCTGGGGCAGGAGCAAGCTTGTCATTTTTTTCAGGAATGGAAAGAAAGCCACTGTGGCTGTAGGCTGTATGAGGGAGGCTGAGGGTGGTAGGAGGTGAGGCTGTGGAGGCTGGTGGGGATCAGATCACGGGGGCCTTACACGCCACGGCCTTGTTTAGAAGTGCTTCATGCCTGAAGGTACATTTTGAGTCCTACTTTTAGGAGAGCAGGTGGTCATTCTTAGGGTGGCTGGGAAGAGGAGCTCCAAAGGGGTCAATTCACAGAGCTGCTGTTCAGAAAGCAAACTCGGGCTGTGTGGGGAAGACCCTTGGTAATTTCTCATCTGCCGTTCCTTCCTGCCTTGCAGCACCTTGCCCATAGGGAGAAAGGGGAAGTGCCCTAGCTCGCTGTACATGGCCTGGCTGGAGACGCTGTCCCAGGACCTCAGACCTCCTGTCATCCTGATCCGAGGAAACCAGGAAAATGTGCTCACCTTTTACTGCCAGTAACTTCACGCTTGCCGTGCCCTCCCAAAGCCAAGGGCGCACGGGATGTCCACCTCTCCTCGGGGACGAGATTCACGTTCTATTGCACTTTAAGCTGTAGCATCGGATGATCCCACTGAAGAAGCTGGTGGCTCCGAACAACTGGCCCCCACCCCCTCGGACCTGTCCTCTGGGCTTTGTGTTTATGGACTGGAGAAGTAGCAGATGGAGTCACACGGAAAATTCTCTGGGGGACACATAGTCCTTTTAAGTTTTCTTTTGATCCTAATTATAACTAATCAAATTTCAGCCTTTGATTTACATACAAATCAGAGTCAGAGCGGGGGTACGAGCATTGACACTTTCTACTGACTTTCCCTGGGGGACCCCCTAACCAAGCCCCCGTCCTCTGACGGTCAGGAGAATGGGCGCCCCACCTGTGGCCCTCACAGGAGAACTGCAGGGCTCTTTGAGCCTCCAAAATAATGCAAATTTCTTTAACCACCTCTCACTACCTTCACTTTCAATAATAATGTGTCTTCAGTGTTTTGGTTGGTTCTTTGCTAGACCAGGGACTTTCAAACTTTTGGGGGCTGCAACCCACAGTAAGAAATATATTTCACATTGACACTTGGAACAAACACAGTGAAACTAAAGGGTCACAAAGTGATACTTACTAAGGGTGATGCACTCCGATATTTTCTGTGCTGGTTCCTTTTCTCCTTTTAATGTTGGTTGCAATCCACTAAAATGAGTTTGGGACCCACTAATGGGAGGTGAAAAACACAGCTTAGACTTTCTTTTGTTCCCTGCAGTTTTTTCTGCACAGCAGGGAGCCCAGCTGATTTGGAGAAAGGCCATGTTGGGCACCACTGCCCTTTCCTCTGCTCATCCTCCAGGGAAGGAAAGGGAAAGGACAAAACACGCAAGGAGGGGTATTGAGGGTGGGCACGTCAGGAAGGAGCTTCAGAGAAGGGGCGGGATTTCCAGGGTCTGGAAGGGTACCTGGCAGGTTTGGTTGGGGGTGGAGGATGGAGTTCGGCCACAGATGCAGGTTTGGTGGGTCGGGAATGGGGAAGTGGAAGAGAGGATGCAAAGACTGCAAGATTGGGCGGAGGATCAGAAAGGTCCAAACCCAGCCCAGGGCCAGGTGAAAGGACAGGGGAGGAGGAGCCGCCAGTAAGAGATGGAAACAATGCAAGTGGCAGAGGGGGCTGCGGGGAGAGGAACGCAAGACTGGTGTCCGAGGCAAGAGAGAACCTGGGGAGGATGAAGCCTGCCCAGGTAGGGATGTTCCGGTTACTATGGTTGAATAGCTCAGAGGTTTGCACCAGCCTAGCTGGATGCAGGAGCAGAATTACATCAGAGACTGGTGGGTGGGGCTCCCTGGAAGGGCATTTCAGCTCCAGACACACCGGAGCAGCATAAAGGTTTGTTGTCAGGGATACCACTGGCAGGCCCTCTTCCAGTGGCACTGGGGTCACTGAAGAAACAAGGCATCTTTGGTTTTAACTGGCCCTCTCCGGGCCCCTGAAGTGCACATTCAGTCATGAAGGCAAAATCTCTTTCTTGGATATATCAACCGGCAAAAACAGAAACCAGTTTAAGAGGCAAAGCATTTATTGGGATCGAAGAATGACAATTTGGGGAGCAGAGATTCAGGTAGAAACCCAAACTGCGTTCCGATTACAGGAGAAGGGCTCAGGGTTTTTGTGGAAAAAGGGAGGACCAGGTGAGTTGTAGTAAAGAAGAGTTCACCGTTGCCGGATGAGGTAAGGCTGGGTTTGTACTTCATAGATGGGTTCTGGATTCGGTCATCAGGCAAAAGGCTAGCCTCGTACTTCGTTGATTGGTTAAGATTCCGTGGTCAGTGAAGTCTAGTTTCATCAATCCTTGCAGACAGGATATTCTTGCCCTTACTGACTTCTTGGAATGTTGGCGGTTGATCCAGTTTGGAAGATAAAGAAAAAAGACTTGTGAGGCGAGTCTTCTGAAATGGCAGCTCCAGCTGTATTTTAACGTGGCTCTGCTCATGTCATCTTCCACAGTTAGAACCCAAAGGACTTCAGCGTTTGTCAGGTCCTCCCACTGCAGAGAACAAAGGCTCTGGGTTCCCAGTGTTAGAAGCCCTGAGGCTCTTCACCGCATCAGCGCTTGCTGGGAAGGACCCAGTGCCTGGCTGAGTTCTTTAGGAACGGCTCCCCTGCTGCTGAGGGCCCCCGAGAGGCGGGCCTGCGTCCCAGCCATTCAGTGGACCTGGGACCAACCCCCAGCTCCAGATAAGTCAAAGCCTCTGCCTTTCTAGAGCCACGTGGAAAACCATTTCCTGGCAAAGGGTGCTCCCTCTTCAGACCTCAGAGAGACCCTGATCCCAGAACAGAGAATGCTTTGGCTCCGGGCATTAAAAAAACCAAAAAACAATTTTCACTATGTTGGAAACCAAGTTTGAACAATGATAATAGCTTTGTTTAAAAAAAAAAAAAGGCCTTGAGCTAACAGCGAGGTCAAAACAATGAATGAATAGAAAATGTGTTCACTCAGTCGAACAGAATTTATTTGTTTTGGAACACATTGTTTCTTAACTCTGCTGAGCGTTTCAAAAAAATTAACTGTATTGTTTTTCCAACCCTAGACTGAACTTTCTCAAGCTTCCACTGGTTCTGTAGGTCACGCTGCCAGATTTCCACAGAAACATTTACAGGAGCCACTTATTTTTCCTTTGCTTCTCTTACGTGTGTTTGCAGACTCATGGGGAACCCACATTCTTGAGTCTTTATAAAAGTATTCCGGTATTTTCAATCTTGTCTCAAGCCAAGGGCTGGAGAGGTTGAGTGGAAAGCCACAGCATGGCTCCCAGGAGACCAGAATTTGAGTTTCTGTCTCACCCCAAAACTGGCTGTGTAATCTCAGATATGCCGGTTAACCTCTCTGGGCCTCAGTCTGTGAAATGAAGAGAACTAGACCAGAACAGGCATCACTAGGCAGCTGGCCTGCTGAGGACTGTGGTTTGGCTCACGCATGGTTGATCAAAATTGTGGGTGCTGGGGGTGGGGTGGGGAACACATACTTCAGCCCCCCACCCCTTGGCCCACCACTTCCTACTGCCCTGCTGGGTGATCAGGGGCTCCTGAAGGCCCTCCAAGTCATTGATGGGGCTCTTGGGCACCGGGGGCGGGGGAGGGGGGGAGATTCGGTCCACAGCTTCTCCCTCTCTGCCGTTGCACGATAAAATGCTCCACTTTAACGAGGTTCAGTGGTGGCAAGTGTGTTCCCCGTGGTCTTTCCTGGTGCGGTGCGTGGAAAACCCGATCCACAGAGAGGCGGGTCTTCAGCCCCGGACCCAGCCAGCAGCCACAGGGGCCACTGCAGCAGGCATTCCTCGCTTCTCACCCCAGGATCCATGCCCACTTAGCTCCCAAGTTTCCCCTTGGCATTTCAGCCTCCAGATTTCACCTTCTCCTTCAGTTCCTGTCCAGACTTGCTGTGGCTTTGAAGTAAGTACAATACAGCCCATCCTTCACCCAATGGGCTCGCTGCGCTCCACCTCCCAGGCAGAAAGCTCGGGGCCTCATCAGCACATGGAGAGCCCCCTTTGGCTTGCATTCCCTTTTATCCATCTGCCTGACCTCTCTTGTGTGGTGAGGGAGAGGTGGGTTCCACAGGAATGAGACCAGCTGGAATGTTCCAGAAGAACCACCTGGCTGGAAGGCCCCCAAGCACATGCAAAGCAGCCAGGTTTCGCTTGAAGCTGTGTATAGCTCAAGGTGTCAGAAAAAAATGCTGCTACCTTCAAAAGTGTTCACAGAAACAGGGCTTGAGAAAGCCCAGTCACGGGCTTCGGGCTTCATTGGTACTTCCGCCCCGGAGTGAGGGCTAATCGTATGACTGACGGAACAAGCACGACGTGACGCCCCTTCCTGAAAGGGAGCCACAACAAATTCAGTTTCTAAAAATACTGTGTGGGTAGAGCTCTGAGAAGAACCACCTGGCTGGGAGGCCAGACAGCGGAATGTCAGATGGACTAGAGACAGTGGCAAGCAAGGACAAGTGTTTTTCATTCCAGCTCATAAGAGAGTTACAAAATAAGATGCTCTAAGGATGCAGAAGAGGGAGAAAACACACAAGTCAAGGGAATTAAGAAAGTCCTAGAGAAGGCAGTATTTAAAATAGGTCTGAGCGATTGGTAGGATTCTACAGACAGAAACGGGGGCTGGGGTTGGGAGGACGTGTTCCAGGTGGCAGGAGAGCTTGAGCAAGGACCGGAGTAAAGACAGCTTGCTAGTATGTTTGGGGAACAAGCAATAAACCAGTTTTCCTGGAGTACAAGGGTTGTGTATGTGGGAATAGAAGATTGGGAAAGTCGCAATGTGGAAGGCCCCAACTATGAGGCCGGGGAGCTCATCACTGACTCAGAGGCACTGGAGAGCCACTGAAGGTGAGGAGCAGATCCAAGCCTTAGGAAGCTTGGCTGGACAGGAGATGGAGGAGTCTGGAAGAGAAAAGGCAGGGCGCCCAGCGGGGAGGCTGTGCAGAATTGCAAAGGCCAGTCAGCAAAGCTGACTTTAAGAGTCACTTTTTTAAGAGTGGCAGAGGGCATGGAAAAGAGGGAAGAGATGGAGGAGAGGAGGACGAAATAGTATCTTCTAGAACTAGGATTTCCTGGATGTCTGTGTGGGTGGAAATAGGGCTGCAGAAGTTGAGCCTGGCAGCTGTAGGAAAGAAGAAACCTGTAATATGAGGGCAGGGTGACAGGCCTACTCCTGGAGGGAAGGAGGGAGGAAGTGGGTTGGTTTGGGGGTCTTTAACTGTAAGGACATCAGGTGGTCAGAAGCGCGGTCCAAGAGCCTGGGAAGAGCTCAGGGTGTCCACTGATGGCCTGATACTCTGAGAGCAGAGACATAAACAGATTTGGGAGTCACATGGATGCCCAAGGAAGTCGAAGCCATAGCTTAAGTGAGATCACCAAGAGAGGAAGTACACAGAGTGGAGAGGGCTGGAGGCTAGACCATGGGAGGGGCTATATTTTGGGGGCAAGAGGAAGAGAGGTAGCCAGCATGCAGCCGGAAAAGGCGCATCGGCAGGGCAGGAAGAAAACGAGGTAACCAAGGCCGCCGAAGGCAGCAGAGAAGGGGTAGAAGAATCGGACTAAACCATCACGGCAGCTGTCTGCAGAGAGGCCGGAGCCGCTGAGAGCACTGCTGAATTTTGGCATCACTGGGAGCCTTGCAGAGAATAATTTGGCAAAGTGGTGGGTCAGGGACCAGGGACTGAGGAATGGATTTGTGGAAAGGAAAGGAAAACAGCAGACATGCATGTTGACCTTATACTTGAGTAACCCAGCCATGGAGAGAAAAATAAGGTGGAAACTGGAGGGAGTGGCAGACCCCAGGGACGGTGTTCTGATGGTTGACATCTTAGGGGCGCATCAGTCAGGGGATGCTAGGCTATGCTGCCGTGACACATCACCCTCCAAAATTAGGGGAGTACGTCACAAAGATCGATTTTTCTTTTACAAATATTCCTGTGCTGGTCAGCCCCCTCTTCAGG